ACATTATTATCCCAAATATAAGCCCCCCCCCCGAATATTAAAGCCCACCCGAATATACACCCCCAAATATAATTCCCCCAAATATAAGTCCCACGAATATAAGCCCAGTAGCCCACTACTTTATTCAACATTTACATTGTCTTTTAATATAGCAGAGAATGATATTTAAAAACATTGTCAGAAATTGTCTTAATAGCTGCTTACTATGTGAATCAAAGTGTGTTAGTAATCCATGTCTATTACTAACACAAAATATCATCCATGTATTAGCCCCCCCCCCCCCTATATAAGCTCAATCTTGTATTAATAGCCTATACTGTATAGGCAAGGTAATGCCATGGTAAGATATAAGTGTAATATTTATGATTTTTTTCTGGCATATCACTTGAATTAACTAACTTAATAGTGTTGCTGGGTTGTATAGATGGAAATACCAAGTGCAAATTTTATTTATACCTAAGGAGCAGTTGCAAAAAATTGCAACTATAGGCCATCTGGCAGGAATTGAACCTGCGTGCCAGCTAGTCCAGCACTTAAACCAACTGAGCTACAGAGTGTAGCTTATAGTTGTCGAGCTCGAACTGCAAGTTCATGTATATACTGTATAGGCAAGGTAATGTCATGGTTAGATATAATTGTAACATTCATGATTGTTTTTGGCATATCACTTGAATGAACTAGTGTTGCTGGGTTGTAAATCTATGGAAATACTAAGTATATTAATTAATGTCATACATTTATTAGACTTAACTACAATCAGCTGCAAAAAATGCAATTATATGCCCTCTGGCAGGAACTGAACCTGCAGCTCCATGCACTACCAACTACCAAATGAGCTACATATTGCTGTTGTTGAGCTCCACCCACAAGTATACTGAAAGTCTGAACGACTATAAGCCCCCCCCCCCAACATAAGCCCACCACATATATTACTAATGCTCACCTCATATATTCCAAATATAAGCCCCCCCCCCGAATATTAAAGCCCACCCAAATATAAGCCCCCCAAATATTATTCCCCCATATATAAGTCCCACGAATATAAGTCCCATGAATATAAGCCCAGTAGCCCACCACGTTATTCGACATTGACATAATTGTTTTTTAATAATTTAGCAGAGAACGATATTTAAAAACATTGTCATTGTGTGTTATTAATACATGCTTATTTTCCTGTTTATGACTGACTTGTTTATGTCTGACTTGTCTATTACTTAACACATTAAACCATTAAGCGCTAGCGCTCTCCCCTTGACAAGTAAAATCGTCTGGCGTTAGACAGAGTAAAATACTCTGGCGTTAGACAGAGTAAAATACTAAAAGTAGGGTGCATCAGGGTACATCGCCACTCAATGGGTTAAAGATCATCCATGTATTAGCCCCCCACCCCGTATATAAGCCCACCCTTGTATAAGCCAATCAAAAATAGCTTACGAAAGTATATAAGCCCAGGGCGTTTAGTCTGAGGTTTACAGTATACTGTATAGGCAAGGTAATGCCATGGTAATGCACCAGTCAGTGGAATACCCCGCACCCCCCTACCCGGGGAACAGCGGGGCATTAGACCAAGACCTTGCTCTAATTCAGTCTAACTCCCCGCTATACGGGCCACTCTCACTTGCCTAAACGCAAATAATGTCCCCGCTCTCCGGGCCAAACATACAATATCTAAAAAGAATATCAATCTAAAGGAAATAGACCAACTGTATTTGATAAATACTACCTTATTCGTACTTATTTTCGCACATCTATTAAATTAAACTGGATTCTTTTCAGTTCGATTTGGTTTTGCTCATTGTTCGGGGCCCCTAAAAACTGGGCCTTTCCCTTTTTACTTAAAATTTAAGTCATATCTATGGTCTATATACTGAATGCTTAAAAAAATGGAACATCTAAACGGTTTACAATAACTTTCAAGAAAATAAAACGGTGACCAAATAACACAAGAGATTGTCAGTAATTCATTCGCAAAATTATCAGTTCAATTTCATTGCTCATTCCAAGTCCTTTCTCGTTTTCAAGATGGCGGCTATGTCTAATCCCTGATATAAGCCCCGCCAAAGTCCCCGGTACCTGATACACATAACTAATACAGTCTAAATCCCTGTGTACCGTGGCCGAATGTAAGGTTCAATCGCTCAATAATTCCCCACTATTCCCCGGGTAGGGGGGGTGCGGGGCATTCCACTGACTGGTGCACAAGATATAAGTGTAATATTCATGATTTGTTTTCTGGCATATCACTTGAATGAATTAACGCATGAATTAACCCCCCCCCCCCTCCCCGTGGAAATCAGCTACTGTTGACAGGGTCAGCGTGGATGAATAAAGTTCTACTACTACTACTAGTGTTGCCGGGTTGTATAGATGGAAATACCAAGTGCAAATTTTTTGAGCAGTTGCAAAAAATGCAACTATAGGCCCTCTGGCAGGAATTGAACCTGCGACGTGACTATATAACACCTATAACCAACTGAGGTACGTACAAATTGCAGTTGTCAAGCTCCACCCCACAAGTTCATGTAATACTGTATAGGTTAAATGCCATGGTAAGATATAATTGTAAAATTCATGATTTTCTTCTGGCATATCACTCAAAAGGACTAATGTTGCAGGGTTGTAGATGGATATATATATACATGTGCAAATTTTATACATTTTATATACCTAACCAGGAGCAGTTGAAAAAATGCAACTATTAAGACCCTCTTGCAGGATTTGAACCAGTGGCCTTGCAATACCGGTGCAGCGTTGCAACCAACTGAGCTACAGAGTGCACTTGCCGAGGTCAAACCATATAAGTATAGTATTCATGGGTTTTTCTGGCATCAGTCTCTCAATTGGACTAGTGTTGTCATGTTATAAAGTCACAATATTCCCTATAACACTTATTGTTATTTTACTGCTAATTGTTGTACTGATCACTGATGCAAGGCCAAACAATTTGATCTGAGAGACAGTGATACAGATTGAATCTGATTAACAGAATGTTTGTTTGTGGTATAAAATTGGTTACTGATGAAAGTTTTCAATTATTTACACAAGTTTTCAACGTTTCAATTGCATGTATAAGCAGTACTGCAGCAGAATGACTCAGTGCAACAACAACAGTATTATCTCAACCTAGCATTGTGGTTCAAAAATGTGAACGCCAGTTTTAACTTTTGAGCTATAATATGCGAATCAAACTTTGCAACAGCAAATATAATTATACATTCAGTAGACCCCAATACTGTCAGACATATACATTTGCCCAACGGTTGAATTTAGTAGCAATATTTTTGGCAGTTTAAACTTTTGACCAAGACATTGTTGGCATTGTTGCAGTATTTATTAATGTACTCTGTCCTGTCCTGTCCTGTACCTTTGCAAGATCACAATCTGTAAACATCGAGGTATTAAACATAAAAGGCCATCTTTTGATAAGGAGAAAAACTATCATGAATCATATTTCCAGCTGACTTTGTTCCTGTCTATATTTTAATACATCAAATACATGTTTCCTTGTTTTATTACATTAAAATACATCTCAGTCAGTCGTGGGTTCTGGCAGCCATCTTTATTATGCAAAATAGAGTTATTAATCACGTTTTAAAACAAAATCGTGTTTAAACACGGTCCGTTCATACGTCATTTCGCAGGACTTTTTCGACTAAAACAACATAAACCAATCAATGCATCGCAGACACATCCAACTGGACGAATGATATTTAGTGCATTTAAACAATATTAATTATTAAGTATATCATTACAACATTTGATTTTTTCAGCATGAAGAGCAAGCAAAATGAGATTTCAAATAACAGAAATCACAATGACAAAGACACGAAAGTTAGTTTCTTAAATTTCATTGTTACCGAAAAATAGCGCTCCGAAACACAAAAGTACGGACTATTACAGTATTAGTTTTTTGACTTTTTGTGATAAGCTTCGTAACCTTCAAGAACTTTTGAATATTAACCATACAATTTTATAGTTAAGTTGAGTAAAAATTATTTGTGCCATTCCTTTTTCAAGGGTGGGTTGACTACAAAATTTTTGTAGTTCGCTATGACTACAGCTACTTCAAAAATATGTAGTCAGCTACAACTACTGCTACTTTTGAACAAAGGTAGTTCGCTACTGACTACAGCTACTGCTTAAAAAATGTAGCGAACTATTTCGCTATTTCGCTACGCTATATTTTTTAGTTTTATTTTATTTGGAGCATCTACTAGCTCAGGCTGAATTGTTTGAAATATTGAGTATTGATCCTAAGCAAACTGTGTCTCAATATCACGTTATTCTATCAAGGTGCTAACAATTTCAAAAAGTAGTGAATAGCGATTCGCTGTTTGAAAAGTAGTCAACTACTTGGCTACTTTTAGGCAAAATGTAGTTCACTATAACTACAGCTACTGTTTTAAAAAAGTAGTGAAAAACTACTGGCTACTTGAAAATTGTAGTTCGCTACAGTAGCGAACTACAACTACTTCGCTACTACCCACCCTTGTCCTTTTTGCTTCACACAGAACGACACGGATCAATTTTCGCATGCGGACATGAAGAGTTGCAGCCTGGCTGAAGCACTCCGCACAACAGCAGGTTCCTTCGAGGTCGCGAGTGCTGCATTTTAAACTTTTTTTGCTCGATAGTCTAATTTATAGGCCTGACCTACTTCCGAATAATCATTTCAACTTTTAGTTGAATGCAGAAAACCGGGAAAGGATGCATATGTTGTGCGAAATAAAGCTTGAAGAGGCACTGCAAAATGCAACAAGAAGGTGTTGTCGTTGTGCTGTGAAGGAAAATGGCGACGTCAAATCTCGATTCACTTACGTTTCCTTAGATCTGAAGAATTTTTTTAAGATTGGGGATTACTTCACATGAAAATACTATCAATTTCCAGATGTTCGTTCATTGCTTTATTAATGACAAAAGACACACAATTTTGCATATTTCATGTTTTTTTGGTGAGAAAAGTTCTCGTCAGATCCAAGCAGTTTTCATATTTCTCACTTCGCGTTGTGAGGCATAGGACAATATTAAATCAGCCTTTGAAAATACGCTAGCGTATACACATGTCATAAATATAGCATAAAAAGCGATATACATAAAAGAGGATCACTAACCTTCCAACTTTGCGATAATCTCCTCTGAAAATCCTTCTTTTTCTAAAATATCTCGCATTCTGTCTCCTTTTTCACCCATCATGGTCGGCGCCTTAGTTGAAGAAGCTATGCCACAGAATGCTAGACAAAAGCTTTTTCTTCCTCTCATTGGTCCTCACTTCCCGCTCGCACGATTATTTTGCAATATGATTGGCTAAGAACTTTAAATCTTTAAAGATTGAAAAAATTTACAGTGGTTCTAATTGATTGACTAATTTCAATCGAACGGCCCACTGACTCCACACTTTTCAATCTAAAATCAATCTAGTAGATTGATTTTTTTTCTAATCAGTTGAAAGATTGAAATTTTCAATCTTTAGAATTAAGAGAGTAAGAACCTTTACAGTCGATTTCACGAAACTTTGACCACAAATGTTCCGAACTTCGTTGTGAAGTTCGCAAGTTCGTTGCGAAGTTCAAAAGTTCATAATGAGATTCACAAACCAATTTGTAAAGGTCGCATTTGATTGGCTTATTTTACTTCAGGGACCAATCAGGGACTTTGTTTACAAATTGGCTTGTGAATTCCAAAATGAACTTGCGAACTTCGCAACGAAGTTCGGAACATTTGTGGTCAACGTTTCGTGAAATCGACTGTAAGGTAAAGTTTTTTAAGTTGTAACGTGTTTGTATTTTGCTTTGTGGCTTGTAAAGTTCATGCTTACGCCATAATGTAAACAACGGTGTAAAGTTGAAATAAATAAAGTCATAATATTCACTTGACAAATTATACTGAAACATTTAGTCGGCCCAGGCTCAGTGATTAATTGCAAGCTCATATTCACCTCGCCGCTTGGCCGCCCAGTGAATATGAGCTTGTAATCATCTCGACTTCGGCGACTAATTGTTAAATAATACCTTACCAATGCGATTACGTAGAATTATAGAGGGAAGCAGGTAAAACAAATGCCAATCCAATTTAAGACAGCATGAAATTCATGAATATTTTATATCTAGTAAACTTCATAAATAATTACAAACGATTAATATAAAACACTTCTTTAGAGCTATTTACCCAAACAGAAAATTCTATATGATTGTCTTATTGTTAATGAATGTCAAGGATCAACAAAACTATACCAAAGTTAATATCAATAATATGACATGTTGTTGAGAACATACAGTATATATTTGGAAAAAACTAGTCTAACTTTGGTTTTTTGGTGCTGTTTTCGTCTTCTTCCATGGCAGCAATGGCTTCCTCTATTTCCTTGTCAGACGAGGTCTGCTCGAGAGTAGGGCATGCATGCTCAATAATTTTTCTTTGCGTGTCGACTCGTAGGGAATACTTGGTATTGAGCAGGAAAAACAGGTCATTTTCTAAAGGTTTTGCCTTTCCTTCAGTCCATTGGAACAGGTGTTGGATAACCTAGAAAATGGGACGAAAATGTGTAATTATATACAATTAAGGAAGAGTAATGTGTGCTTTGTGGGAAGCAGGGCGCTTATATATAGGGCGGTGCAACGCGCTTATTGAGCGTTGATCGATGTGTGATGCGGAAGTGGACTGGCACGAGCATGCTTTTCACGAGAATTCGAGTAGGAGCGTGGTTTTCACCACCGTTATATTTTTGCTGTTTTTCCTCTAAATATGACATTTTGGAGGAACTTTTTAATGGATATTTGTGAAGTACTGTTTTATTAAACGTATGATGTCTTTCTTTCCTAAAATTTTTTTTATAAACATCAAATTTATGGATATTAAATCGATCGCGTGATGGCTTCCATGGAGGGATAATTTCGCCGTGAAAGTATTGCATGTTAACTGCCTGTCCGCGGCGAGAAATTTCAGGTATGTTGAATAAGATAATGCCACTGTAATATCTTAAACTTTTCATAAAAATCGAAGTTGATGGATTACAGATAAAATTGGCTGGAACTTGTACATTCATGATGGGGGTTATTCTTAGCTTGTTTAGTCGCTAAATGGCAGCAAGAAAATCTAACAAATGTTTTGTTTTCGTTGTGCTCTAATTCGCTATAGTCGTATAAATGAGTTAATAGCGTTTTCCAAAGAAATTTTCATAATACGTATATCCCTTAAACATTTTTTCCTTTCTGGCTAAGTTTATAAAATAGACATTGCAGGAAAATATGCCCAGTGCATTCGGTGATGAAGACTTGCCCGCATCTTGTAAATTTGTTTGTCAGAAAGGCAAGGTGATTCTCTGTTTATATTCATTTAAAAAGAATCATATTCGAGTTGATGGTTTCTTTGAATTTATTTCAAAAGACACCCTTCCTACAAATTCCATGCAAGATCTGTATTCGATCGAACATAACTAGGTTATAGCGTAAACATACAATAACGTGAGCAAAGATGGCCTCTCACATTTCGCGCCATTTTTCTGTCGTAAGCAAGTTCATCCATTGCGACTTTTATTTACGAGTGAGTAAAAAATATTTTTAAAACGAAAAATGTCGGAATATTTTGGTAAAAGACAAGTAGGAGAGACATCTACGTCTTCTTGTAAGCGTAGTAGAGTATCTAGTGAAAGCCTAACAACAACAGGGGAAGTGACACCTAAGGGAAATGATAGAGAGCAACCTGTTGCTGATTTTGCAAATTGTTTTGTAAACACCGAGACAACACGAATTGAGTACTGTGGTAAAATTACTTTACAACCTGAAGTACTTCTTCTGTACTGCTTAGTAAAGATTTCGTCACCAGGTAGCTAGCAACATTAATTTGGCAAACGGATACACTCCAGAAAAATATTTAGGTATTAGACAAGCAGTTTACAATGTATATGGTATCCATTTTGACTGTGTCAACATGCAAAACTATTTCTATCGATCCATTAACAATCTGAAAAAGGGTCTTGGAAAATACAATGGATATTTGAGATGGAAATTTTATTCCAGTTACATCGAAAGAATTATTTCAACACACCAAACACTCCTTTTGAACCTGCTCCTAAATTCAGGATTTAGCAACATGCCTGGTAATTTCGATGACTTGCGCAGAGATATAGAAAGTGAATGCCTGTCCAGTTTGGGGGAGGGTAAGCTGTCGCAAAGTCTTGCATACAAGATCAGTAAGGTCAGTGTTAACTGTGCAAATAGGTTTCCAAAGTGGAAAGTTATCTCAGATGTTAAAGAATCAAAAATAAATCTCTATTATATGGGTAACAGTCCAATAAATGTACAGTATCAAGTAATTGTGTTATCAGATGGAAGTTATTCCTTTGTTTTCATGGGACAGCCCAAAATATTGAATTTTGATAACAGTATTATTCCACCAGCAGTTCATGACAAGAATCAGTTGTACTTACTCATGAAATCTCTTGAGAAATTGCAAGTATGTTCTGGTGTTTCGGTTGAAAACTACCAAGATCTGTTACCTGATAACGACAATACCCCAGTGTATAAGACAACTAGTGGAGACCCTGCTGCATTTGTGGAATCTGTGCCAGCACATGATTGCAAAAAATGTGTAAGATCCACAAAGTGTGACATATTAATTCAAGGTGTTGCATGTTGCAAAGCTTGTTTACAGACAAATCACTACATGAGGACACTTAAGTCAAGAAGCAACAACGTAAGTCAGAGTTCTAAGCATACTCGATATGATTATATGTCAAAAGATAAGTTACTCGAGCATAGCAGAGAAATGGCAGACAAAATTCATGTGATGCAGATCAAAATTAAAAGGCTTGAAGAATACCAAAGAGAAATGAGCACAGTAGGAAGTAATACAGACTCAGATTTTAGAAAGTTATTTCAACAACTTTATAAGGGACTGAATAAAGTTTTTGAGAAACACGATAACGACACTTGTTATTGGGAGGATTGTAATTTGGAAACTGAGTTTAAATCCCCAGAGTTGCTACTTGGACATATAAAAAGTGTACATATCAAAACAGTCGATGATGTTGCACCAATTAACAGGCAATATACTTGTGAGTGGCTAGGCTGCAACAAACATTTTGGGGAAAAAAAAGCTTCTCCATACCCATGTTGCTGAACACACAGGAAATGAGTCAGATACCTTTTTCATAACACTTTTGAATGACCAAGCAAAGGCTTTAAATATGCCTTCAAAACAAATGAGGTGGCATCCTTTGATATTGAAATGGTGCCTACGAATGTACTGTAAATCCCACAGCATGTACACTGAGCTGCAAGAATCTGGTTTTTTGAAAATTCCCAGTGGAAGAACTCTTTCCGACTACAAGAACTTCTGTTCTTCAAAATCTGGTTGGCAAACATCTGTCTTAGATGCCATGAGAAATAACTTTGCAGACAAGAAAATTCCAGAAGCAGGAAAATTTGGTGGTCTTTTTTTTGATGAAGTCAAAATTAAAGAAGGTTTACTCTTTGACCCATCCTCTTCAGAATTAATCGGTTTCACTGATTTAGAGATTGATGACAAATCGTCCACAGTACAAGAGAGCCTTGCTAGTTGCGACACATGTGCTGCAATTTTTCTACAAAAGGTTGGTCAACCCGAGGTAATGTATTGAATCGATATTTGAGGAACACTTCAATTGGAACGACAGTAACAATTAGATTATGAGCTCAACTATCATCTCTATGAACTATCAAAATATTACAAAACAACATTTCAAAAAGTTTTCAAAAAAATCTTGCCAAAGATATGGCTGTTATCTATTGAGTAATAGATTACAGCAAGTATTATGTCCATAAGTCCATTCAGAATACAGTATTTGCATTAGTATTATTTCACTAAATAGTTTTATTTAACTTTGCAGGTTTCAATTAACGGCATTAAAGAGCTGGTAAAATTTATTGAAAGTCCTGAAATCCAATCCCTCCAAGGAAGTCATTATGTGATTCCAAAGCGACTAAGTCAAGATCTAGTCGAATCTTTTTTCTCATTGCAAAGGCAGTCATGTGGCGGTTCAAATAACATGACTGCAATTGCGTATGGATATAATGTAAACAGTGCTATCTCATATTCGGCAACCAAACTTTTACGGAAGAAGCAAACAAATGTAATGGAAAATGATGAAATAGAACTTAGTATCGAGCAAGAGAGTAACACCAGTCTTCCCAGGAGAGGTAATATGGAGAGCATCTTTACCAAAAATATGTGGCCTGTTTATCTTTAACATTTCTTGATCCGTACCATTATTTTGCCAACTATAGATAAAATAGAAAATGTTGATTTAGGTCAAATAGACCTTACTATTCACTTTTAACCCAATAGCCTCGTTTTTTGTTGAATTTTCCTCTCTTGTGCTTCATGCACAATATGGTAGAGGAATAAGCTTTTAGGCGAACAACCTTAGTTAATCTTTGTCCACCATGCTAAAACATATAGAAACGAGAGTATTTGGTCAAAAGTGAAGGTCAATGCCAGTTTCGATCTGTTGACCTTCCTTATAGAAATAAACTTTCAGTAAGTAAGATACTTAATTAAGCCGTGTTTACACTACAAGCTTAAGCCTGGCCTAGGTTTTTTGTAGTGTGAATGCACTTCAGCCTGGCCTAGGCCAGGAAATCTCGGTCCATCAGTTTGTTTACACTACAAAAATCTAGTTCAAAGGTAGGCCCAGGCCAGGATTAGGCTCGTAGCGTAAACACAGCTTTACACTTTCAGAGTCTATCTCATTTACCAGGAGGTCCTACACTGGCACCCCACTTCCTTGAGGTCCATTTACATGATACGACTAGTCATATACTATTGTCGTTCTGTCTTGATTGTCATTCAAGCAATTGCTGACACAAACTATTTCTGTTCAATAGTTTATATCAAAATTTGTAATGTGGCATCTTTGCATACATCAGGCACAGATTTTCGGGGGGGGGGGGTGTGCACCCCCCAGAAAAAAATTATTTGCACCCCCCCCCCAAAGGCATTTGGCATATATTTTGATTTGATAGTTTCATATTTGATTATTCTTACTACTGAATTTGTAAAATTACCAATATTATGGTCTCAGATCTTGCCATGCAGGCATAGAAAACAAATTTTGTTAAACTTTTTCCTTGCCTTTCTGAGCGTTGCCAAAGCAAGCAGCAGCAGCCCCCCTCAGATATTTATCCACACCCCACCCCACCCCCGAACGAAAATCCGTGTCTCTGGCATACATACAGTATGCCAGTATAAGAATCCTATATGCCGGGATAGAATCAGATTAGTTGTATCATGTAGATGGGCCTGTATCAAGGTGTGTGCAATTAACTTATTAACTTAATTAACTCACAGTAACATCACAAACATCATATATTCACCTGAGTACATAACACCAACACACACAAAATAAAAATTATTGATTGATTGACAGTGAATTTGCTATTTTTGGTTGTTTGCATATACAAAGCAAGAAATACAAAATTCAAAGGCTTTCACTCACTTAATGTAAACATGCAATTGAACTAACATCATCCAAATGAGTACAACTTTTCTGGTAAAGGGTATTTAAAATAGAGGTGCATAATTGACCCAAAATCAATTCTCCCAAAATCTTGCGAATGCCAAGCTAGGATTTTCCACATAAATTATATACAATCACCCACGATTTGGCACGGTATTACCCCTGGGTAAAAAGATCTCTGTGCATGATTGTTTTTGTCAGTTTATACATTTCGAGACTGTCTGCAAAAGTATGAGTGATTGATCACTTGTTGGTTCACTTTATCGGGAAATGTGCTTCTACTATATAACTCAGTCTGGGTGATTTGTTTTGGCAAGCCTGCCCATCTAAAGCTCGGCTCATGTAAACAGACATTCATCCAGGGAAAGCGAGTTATAGCCAGGTTACCTGGGTGGCTCGCCTCTATATAAGCAGCCCCTTACACATGTTTTAGGCTGACTGATAGCCGATAGGAGGGCTACCATAGCAAGCACATGCCATACACTGAGTAATAATAGATGGGCTATTGCAATGCTGTCAAATGTGACTGCATTTCAAACAGATCACATATATAAAAGTATACATGTCAACTTAGCAAATATTTAACATGAAATACACCATAAATGTATTTCACACAAATAAAGCCCCGTTTACACGAGCAAATTTTATTTGACAAATTTCATATGTCAAAGATATTTTGCTCGTGTAGATGATAAATTTGTGACAAATTTATTGTGACAAATGCAATTGAACAAAAGCTAGCATGCTTTTGATGAAATGAAATTTGTGAAATAAAATTTGCTCGTGTAATCGGGGCTAACAACACATATAAGTAGAGACTGTAGATTAGACTTATGGACTTCTGCTAATTCAAATTAATCGAAAATTAAAACTGAACGTCTAGATCGACAAATCGGCGGCGAAGCGACTAAAATACAGGCCTTCGATTTAAAAATATAACTATACAGAATATCAAGTAACTTTCCGCACACAAATAAGTAAATACACAATAAACATACCTTTGAAAACAAATTCCATGTATCTTATTAGGTCTTTGGAACTTTATAAGTAGAAAATTTGAATAAATATCATTCCCTTAGAAGGTCCACAAAGGGTAAGATGGCAGTAATTTACTTTGTAGTTGTGGTTTGAATCTTTGTAGATTAATTTTTTTATTTTATTAACCGGTTTTTAGGTTGTTGTAAAATTGTTTTTTCATGTGAAGTTTGCATTTAGACTTCACATGTCCTGCTGATCTAACTGAATCTGACTTTTTACAATTTAGTCTTGTTTTAATGAACTCGTGAAAACAATTGTTGCTCACAACTCTCTGATATTCATGACTGGAAGCTTGTGTATAGTGATGGATGCAAGATGAAGCTGGAACATTTCTTTTGATTTCTTTTCTAACAGCTCTTCTCAATTTTCTACTTTTTGTCAACAGGCGACAAATTTTCTTAGCTGGGACTCTACTTGGTGCTCGATCACGACGTTGTTTGTAACTTAAAAAGTACTATGTTGATACTTTTCATCATTATTAATTCTACTATTCATAGTTATCATACACTTTGCTGTCATACACTTAGCATCATATACTTTTCCAGATATAACTTTGGTATTTATGCGTATAACTTCATGATTCATAGCATTCAAAGGTAAGTTGGCATTCATAGCATTCAAAGTTAAATTGGCATTCATGACATTCAACGTTAATTTGGCATTCAACGTTAATTTGGCATTCAAAGTTAATTTGGCATATTCAAAGACAAGTTGGTGTTCATAGCATTCAAGGTTAAGTTGGCATTCATGGCATTCAAAGTTAACTTGGCATTCAAAAGAGCAATGGCATTTACACACTTTTTTGAATTTTCATAAGAAAGTGCCATAACCTATAAGAGACAGAAATAGGATATTAATTCTGACACACCAATTCTGTTTGGCCCATCATTGTAATAAGAGGGCCCTGAAGGGGGGGGGGGTCCCAATCCCATTTCCCACCTGAAATTTTGGCAAAGTCCCAGTTGGATTTTTATTAGAAATCCCAGTCCCAGTTATTGAAATCCCAGTCAATAAAAAACCCTTTATGTATCTGTAGAATAAACAGTTTTAAGACCTTTTAAACAAGTGGTGGACACTTTATGGAATATTAGGGGGGGGGGGCACGGGCACGGAAAATTTTAAAATTTGAATCCCGGAAATGGCATTTGCAGCATTCTGAGACACACATAATCAGAAAACCCAGAATTCCAGGCACCAGAGTATGCCTGTTCGCAGGTAGTGCTGTGAATAATATAGTTAACAACAAAAATCATGACCAAAGACACCAAAAACGGATCAAAATTGTATTTTAAAATACTCAAAACGCAGAAAAATTGGGAATCGATTCGCATTACCTCAATCCCATTCCCATTTTTGAGGACTTCATTTCCCATTCCCAGTGGCCAAATCCCAGTCCCAGCAACCCAAATCCCATTTTCCCAGTCTAAAAATAGATCAATCCCATGTTCCCATTTTACCCCTTCAGGGCCCTCTTGGGTATTTGTCTGTGAATGGATGAACCTTACCTGCACCTAACCCCTTCTCTGGCCCTCGCCACAGAATAAAGATCCACACAGAAGGGCCACTTACGTTGGAAGCTTTGAAGTTTCTGTTCCGCTGGCTGCCATCTTCCTAGTCGATTACATATTCTGGCCAATAAACGTGCTGTATTGGCTGGAGGCCCCACCTTCTGGCCAGTCAACTGCATATTTTTGCATAAAAATATGGCGACACGTTGTACTGCTGAGTGGCCTTTCTGGTACTGATCTTTATTCTGTGCCCTCGCCCCTAAAACCTTAATTGATCAGGCCTTAAAGATGCTGTACAGTCCGATCTGTGCATGTGCACAAAGGAGCCCTCTTTTTATTATACAAACAGTTTATTTAGGTTACTTTTTACTTCATTTTATGTTCTTCCAAAGCTTGATTGTCATATTGTCTTGATAATTTATTATGCTCTAGAATCATGAAAATATATATAGTTGTCGAATAAAATTCTATATCTTGGATACCGACATGTAAACAAAGCCTTAATTGTTTACATACGGACTGTACCGCATCTTTAACTATTCAACTACCAAGGATTTGCCCGATAATTAAAGCGATTTACTTGATGTCTTGTAGTAAGCTGACTGAACAAAGAAATCTACCAATCAAATTAATTTGCGGACAAATAGCCAAAGCTCGTTGGTTTCCATGACTGGAAAAATAACCATGTCCTGCTCTTTTTCCACTTTCTTTTTGTTATTTAATTAACCAGGACTGGTCTAGTTATTGTTGCAACTGGAATGTTGATTGCAAGCAAGCCTTATCTAGATAAATTACGGAGTCAAGATGAGCAAAATAATGTACAGATTGCCAAACCTTGTGTGAAGATGGACGATGAATAAAATATTGTGAAAATGTAACTATTGCATTATATATACTTTACAGTGAAAATACAAAAAGTTTTGACCCGCTTCTGTAATTTGTTACAAGTGATTTACTTTAATTTGTTCTGTTTTTCTGTAGCGATTACCAATTTATTGGCAAATACCACGATAAAACTTAGTTTTCTCTATTTTTAATATATGATAATTTGTAACAAAGGGAAATAATAATTTTTTGTTAGTTTCATTGCATAAAAGGTGCGAAATTTAAATTTTATCGCAGTATTAATTAGCCGATAAATTTATTGGTAATCACTACAGAAAAACAGAACAAATGACAGTAAATTGCAACAAACTACAGTCTAAGCGGAAGTAGGACACTTTTTGTATTTTCATTGTAACCATCGCAACAGTTGTATGCAGTTTGGCCTTTGTAATTGTCCTGATGGAAACAAGAATTTGGTTGGGCAGATTGCACTGACAGATGATTCTGAAAAATCTGGGAATTCTCTCCCCCACCCACTGTCAACAAGAATTTTGGGAAATATAAAACAGGAAAAGAGTTGGTTGGGCAATATTAATTAGCCATTCCAAAGTTGATGAGAGGACTGGGGACAAGTGTTAAAAAGTGCCCAAATTAAGAAATCAAGCAAATCACTAAAAAGACCACCTCAAAATTAGTAAGTATACAAAGTTTGAAGACGTTTACATCAATACCCTTCGAATAATAAGCTTTCGAAAATTGCGATATTTACTATGAAATGTACTGTGTTTTTTTTTGTTAGTGAGGATGTGCGTCCCAAAAACAGTCTTTTAATCGGTAATTTCACAATTTTCGAAAGCTTATTATTTGAAGGGTATTCATGTAAATGTTTTCAAACTTCGTATACTTACTAATTTTGAGGTGGTCTTTTTAGTGATTCCGTTCATTGGGTCATTCCAGAAAACATCCATACCACCCCCACAGAGGAAATAGGAAGTTTAACCCCCTACCCCCTTCAGATGTCCTAATACATTTACTATTATCAGAAACAATTTTTTCTCCCCTCCCCCTCCGGACGGCAGAAATTTCCTCCGTGGGGGGGGGGGAATATGGATGTTTTCTGGAACGACCCATTTCTTAATTTGGGCACTTTTTAACACTCGTTTCCAGTCCACTCATCAACTTCGGAATGGCTAATAGAGTTGACAAAAGAGTAGATTTCAGACCTGGGGGAATAAAGTCTGTTTACTTTAGTAATGAAAGATTTATCATCTTTTTTAATTGTAGATTAGTTTGAAAATGAGAGGACAGAAAGAAAGATTGTAAACAAACAATAGGAATCAGAACGAAGATAGGTCAATGAGATATTTATAATATATCCTTTTCCTTCTAATAATGTTACTTTTGTCTTCATTTCATCACATGTTAATTGTTTGGGTCAGGTTTTAAAACATTTTTACATGTCCGATGACTTTGAATTTGGATCGGACATATGTACGACGATGTCCGATGACCTTCAGTTTAGTGTAGCTCGGAAATAAGTCTGAATTATGCAAATTAATATTAGCACAATGTATTAATGTTGTGAAGAGATAAGTTGTATCATTCTTACTTATTTCCAAGCCAAAATTAACTTGCTTGCCAATAACAGCAGTAATAGTGACATAGACAACTTAAGCCCATTTTCCACTTCACCTGCCCTCGATTACATTAAAATAACATTTCTGGTTCACTTTTTATACATCACTCTGATTCTCCATTTAACATACGAAAATCTAAGTAAAACTTTATCAAGATGAAATATTTATCCTATAAGGCTATATGCAATACTGATTAAACATTTTTCTCTCGAAATATTCTCCTTGAATTATTTATGATTTTTTGAGATATCTTTTTTAAGATTATGTCCAATTTATTATGCAAAAATTGCAAAAAATATGCCACAATATAAGTGAATTAATTAATTCATTGCCAGAAATCGCGGACACGATTACTCTACTTTCTTACTAATTTGCATATATCGTCGATGTATACCCGTTGAAATATGACTTCTGCAGTAAACAGTAAATTATATTACGTGATGCTGTATAAATCGCAAAATCAGGGAATACGGTAGTTTGCAATTTGCCTCAATGGACCTATTCCCTAATGAACAAAATTTTGATCTAGACATGTCCAGACAAACATTTCACCACAGCTTGAAAGAGCATCACAAAATTAGTAATATTCCGAAGTTTCGTTGCGAAATGTTGTAAATTGCGGATAATATAGCACTGCGAAGTTTGCCGTTTTTCAGTCATTTTGTATTGCGCACGGGAAATTGATACCGCTTTCTGAAAAAAGGTATAGCATGAATGACCCCATTCTTCAAACAGCATTAATTAAAGTGTCATGATTTGGGATTTTAAATCTTTTTTATCTTTGGTGCATTTTATGAAGAAATGCAATATACCTTTATAAGAAAATATACCACCTTCATAGGATTATCAGGTACCGGATATGACATAAAATCGGGAATTTTATAGGCTAGAAACAAAAGAAATCTAATTTGCAATTCCCGGTTTGATATCATATCCGGTAACTTTGAGGCCTGGTAATCCTGTGAAGATGGAATATTTTCTTTTAAAGATATATTGCATTTCTTCATAAAATATACCAATGATTACAAATAATAAATTACACAAATCATGACATAGGCACTTTAAGCAAACTACCATAGGTCTAATTAGTGCTAGGTTTGATTATCAGGTAATCATTTATTTAGAACTTATGATGATATATTTAGGGGGGGGACTTTCTTATTTTGGCCTACAAAATTTGCGAACTTCACAGCCGCTATATTCCTCATTTTACAACAATTCACAACCAAACTTTGTAATTTTACTCATTTTAAGATGCTACGGCAATGGACTTCTTATCTAGATCAAAATTTCGTCTATATAGCTGGGATTATCCATTAACTTGAAATGAGACCTTTGTATATGTACTTACTCTGTGAGTATACACACGCTAAATATTAAAATACGTTAATGCATGTTGAAATATGCGCATCGCACGCGATTCTTATGTATATGAATGAGTGACATTTTAAAAGATTTGTACATGATAAAGTCGACTCCACTTAAAATCATAGCGTGCACAACTAGGATTTAGTGGGACAGGTGCAGAGTACTATACTGAAAACTCCAGTCAAACGAGGATATGAGAGTTGGCAGTCACGTATTGCTACAGGGGACATTTCAAGCTCTAGATTAACAAGATAAGGCTTTGGTGAATGTTCCAGCTACATGTTTTAACTTCAATAGAATACATGATAGTGTTGGCAAAGCATTAAGAACAGCTAACCAAGATCGCGTGACTGCCAACGAGACATCCACTCTCATCCAATGACATATGCACTGCAAGAAATAGAACAATTGTTGTGCAATTAAAAGATAAAAATATGAATCAGTTGCTTATCTCCTTTGCCATAAATAAACCTGCACTGAAAGATTTCAGTTTGTCCAGCTGATTAAAAATAACAGCGTGCCGTCGTCCTGATAGCGATACACACGTTGTCCCCCCCCCCCCAAAAAAAACGGAGTCCAACTTCTAAGCTTGGTTATTCAAAGATAACTTGATCAGATAAAGTCACTTTTATCTTATTTTAAAGCCTGTTTATTTTTCTTCTCAACGACATTTTCCATTTTTCTTCACAGCAAAAAATCATTTTCTTATTTTAAGAAAAAAATTAATTTAATTGGGAGAGAAATAGGAAAAAATTCTTACTATAGGGTTTCTTAAGAAAACTGTTCTCAAAAAAGAAATATGTGGACAACTAGAAATTTTTTCTTATTTTTCTTACTCTCCCAAGAAAAAAATTCTTAAGAAATCAGATAAGAATTTTTTCTTATTTTAAGAAACATTTTCTCATGACAAAATCTTACATTCTAGCTCCCAAGAAAAAAATTCTTAAGAACATCAGATAAGAAATATTTCTTATATTACCTAATTTGAATTTTCTCAAAATAAAAACTGAAGAATTTTTTAAATATCTATACTTTTTTTGAAGGAAAGAATGAAATCACAAATGTGGTTTTAGCGCAAGCGGTCATTTTCAGATGCACCAAAAAACAACGTTTTTGATATCCCTTGGGTATTTGAAAACTTTCTCAAAATTTTGAAATGTTCATGTTGATAATGGACATCGATTTAACTATAAACTACAAACACAAAACGTCATGCCACAATTAACTGTAGGCGAAAGAACTTTCCTTGTTGAAAATATTGGAAATTTGACGTCTAATAAATTGCAACATAAATGGAAGAAATTGTAAATTAAAGAATGCAACTCTATCTCCATTTGTTAATTTTCCAATTGCGATCACTTAAACAAACATAACTCGCAAGCTACTGTTTGTTTAAGTGTTTAAAATTAAAATTCGAAACGAGACAGTAGGGACACCCTGTAGATCTTGAAATACATATCCTGTCTAACAGTTCATGAAAATTTTTTGACGTTAGTTAAGAGTGTCTGTTATTAGAAGGTTACGTGATCCCATTCCAGTTAAAACTTTTTTTGAGATGTAAACTTGTATATATGAATTAAGTAAAGATTGTTCCCTATAAGCTTTGTATTCAAAAACATCTGAACTCCCAACGGGAATCGAACCCGTGTCTCCCGATTTACCACTATAGACTATGGGGTTTCAGACACCAATGCGATGTTAAGTAGAAACCATTCTCGTACCCAGAGCCCTTCTTACGCGTGTTCGACCGAGCGCGACGAGGGGCTCTGGCCAAATCCATATCAAACTGGCATCTGATTGGCCATAGTTCTAATACCGGATATTGTTCTCTTACTATGTTTTTATGGTATCCGGTTATGGATTTGGCCAGAGCCTCTCGTCGCGCTCGGTCGAACGCGCGTAAGAAGGGCTCTGGGTACGAGAATGAGTAGAAACGTGGTTCCTGGACAGGAACTGGGGACTAGGAACTAGAAACCAGGGATTAGGAATCAGGTCTCTAGTTAACATCGCATTGCTGTCTGAAACCCTATAGTCTAGCGGTTAAACAACCGAGTTGACAATCGGGAGACGAGACACGGGTTCGATTCCTGTTGGGGAGTTCAGATGTTTTTTCTGAATACAAAACTCGAGGAACAATCTTTAGTTTGGTTCACATATAACCAAGCTTGCAACATGTGCTATATCACACAGATTTAGTATACAGCTATTTCAACTAAGGTTGTCCACGAGCAAAGCGGAAAAGTCGAATACGAGCGCGAAAGGCTGCTGGGAATCGCTTTGGAAATTCATTAATTTGTTAACGATTCCCAGCAGCCTTTCGCGCTCGTATTCGACTTTTCCGCTTTGCTCGAGGACAACCTTAATTGAAATAGCTGTATAAGTTCAGCATTGAAAAATGGCCTTTGAGCATCCTGATTGGCTCCTTCAGCAATAACTCTAAGGCAATAGTTACTGCTCAGACTGCTCTTTGTTTACCCCCAAAATGGCTGAAAATCCTCAAAATCGATTTACGAAATTCAGTATATACATAAACTTAAAATAACCTCGTGTATTAGTTGTATTTATGAATAAAACTTTTGCAACCCTGAAATTACACTAAACCAATTAGTCGTCTCAGGCTCGGTGATTACAAACCTATACTTGGGCTCAGTGAATATGCCTACATTGTAATCACCTCACCTTCGGCGGCTAATTGTTAAACAGACAAAGGCTGCACCCACAATCTTTGAAATCCATGAGTGCAAATATTTGTTCCTCACGCCCACGTCGCAGGAGTTCAATATAAGTCATTCATATTTTATTACTGCTCTGTTTCCGCGTTCGCATGCGGGGATTTTTTAATTAACAGCTGCCCGACTTTTTGATGAAAAGCCTGGGGAATCTAATGGCATTCGGAGCTTTTCCTCAATATTGTAACACATAAGCGTACAAGGACAATAATTTTTGAAGTTTACCATGAAAATTTTTTTTGATTCGGGAAAAATACAAAAAAGTTCTGCTCTTCCTAATTTTCCATCCCGTATGCCTATGTCGTAACATGTATGCATTTTATCGCCAAAAAAGGCGAAATTGTTCGTGTCATCGCCATTTATAATGCAAAAGAAATAATCAGATAACATCCAATTGAAAATGAACGGTTATCTTGCGAAAACACCGCCCATTTGCAATACTTTGCATGTTTTCTTGGGCTCCTTAGATACATATAGATACGATATCTAGTGTGCAATATTCATGTTATAAATCTTTAATTTGACTCAGCATAGAATATTTGGGATTGATAGAATTCCCGTATTTATTGTCGATTTCAGGTAACTTTCAACACGCTAATTACGTTGTCAAGTTCGGAAGTTGGGCGTGAATTTCGCAACGAAGTTCGCAAGTTCATTTCAAAGTTCGAACTTTGATTGTAAACAAACGTTAATAGTTGGAGTTGAAATTACTGTATAAGGCCCTATGCACATATTACTGCAGTAAAATATGGGTCCAGTGGTCTCCCAAGACGAAAAATGCCTTTTTAATTTAATTAATTTATAAATGAAATTTTTACATTTGTTTACAATCGAAGTTCGAACTTTTGAAATAAACTTGCGAACTTCGTTGCGAAGTTCCCGCCAAACTTCCGAATTTGGAAACGTAATTGGCAAGTTTTACAACAAAGTTGGGAACCGCGCTTTGAAAGTTTTATCGACTCTAAACTTAACTTCAATTCTTAACTTTAATCCTAAGTTTAATCCTAACCGTTATCTTAACCGTAATCCTATTGAAGTTTAATTTAATCCTCACCCGCTATCTTTAATCCTAAGTTTGAACCTAATTCTAAGTTTAATCCTAATTTCATCCTTCATCCTAAGTTTAATCCTAATCTCATCCTTAATCCTAAGTTTAATCCTAATCTCATCCTTAATCCTGTTTAATCCTAATCTCATCCTTAATCCTAAGTTTAATCCTAATCTCATCCTTAATCCTAAGTTTAATCCTAATTTCATCCTTGATCTTAAGTTTAATCCTAATGTCATCCTTAATCCGAACTTTAATCCTAATCTCATCCTTAACCTAAGTCTAAGTTTAATCCTTATGTGAACCCTAATTGTAAGTTTAGTCCTAATCTTATTCTTCATTCTGTAATCCTTATCTGATCCTTAATCCTAAATTTGATCCATACTGGAACCCTAAATGTAATCCAAAGTTTATATTTTTGTATTCTTGTGCCCTTATATTTTGTTCTGTCACAGGTGAGGTGAGGTATACTCCGCTGCTTATATTTTGCTTCTGTTGACATTGTCTGGAAATTTAATATGTAAGTACGATCATACACTACTGGACCAGGAACTGGTCGGCCATGTCGATCCATCGTTTCAGAACTCAAACTTCTGCATTGTTTTTCGAACCCTTAATTTTGGTTCGGCTAGGCATCTTTTAAATACGTTAAAATGATATAAATGATCGAACGAAACACTAGTCAATTATAAAATGGTTCTCCAAGTGGAGCCGCTTTGAGTACGTATTTCAAAATGTAATGGTTAGTCGCTGGTCCATGACTGTTTTTGTTATGGTCAGGTTTGTCTGTGAATATTAATGTATGCATATCATTATTCTACATGTACAGACAAGAATTGCTTGAACGTTGCTCCTAAATCGAAAATAAAAAATCTCAAAAATCGGACACCGTCAGTCGATGAAGAATATCGTTTAAAGTCATCGTGTCAAATTTCCTGACGATCGGACTCAAAATGAAGGAGCCTTAGCGCTTAGGCTTTTTTCGAAGAGCGTCGCCCCCCAAAAACGACAACAACAAGATTAGCAGCGATTGGGGAACAGTTCCTGGTCCAAAAGTGCCACTTGACCTCAGACTACCGAGCCTTCCGTATACGTATATATATAGTTCCTCATTTTAAGAGCCGGGGTGAAATATGAAAGATCTTGAAAGATGAAAGAGTTTTTTAATTAAGACGAGTGATACATCATTATACAGTATGTAATTTTACAGTTGGAAACATTATCGTTCGATTCTGCAAGTATATCCGATATTACTAGATTATAGGCTGGATTATATAAGGACAACGGTCAACGCCTTTTCTTAAAGAGTGCTTGTTCAAAAGCTAACATGCTTGCTTTTGAACAAATGCGTTGACATAGAAAAACTTGGAAATCGGTTTAAATTTTCCTCGTCTGTGTTGGTCAACAGAGAAACATTGACAAAATCGTTTGAGTACTCGCCGAGTAGAAATAATAGATAGAAGGGAACTATCATTTTGTAATTTCATGAGATATTATAGCAAAACAGTGACACTCAGAATGCATGCAAAAATGTTTAAAAAGAGTAAATTATGATTACGCGAAATCACTTTGTTTTTACAATTAAGGCAGCACGATTTTCACCGTTTTTGAAGTGCGCAACTGATATAGCCCTTAATACGTTTGCTGTTGTTCCTTCAAAGAACTTAAATATTTTAAAATCTATCCTCAAACTGCAAATTAGACAGCAAAACAAAGCTTTCGACGATGAAAACTTAGTTTTAGCTTTCTTTGTACTGTGGAAAAAGTGGAGACATGATTTGTTATCACGTACGCATTCTACATCTATTGTTTCTATGTTATACTTGGATGCACTTGGTGTAGACTGTAGTCTGTACTATTAAATAGACATTCCAAAATTAGCCTTTCCCCAAAAGAGATCACAATGCATTCTGGGATCGTTTGGAGGGACAAAATATGTGGTGACAGGCGTCAAATATGTGAAAGAGTAGAAGTATCTGCTATCAAATATCAACTTTTTAGACGACCAAAAATGAAATATCTCCTTGTTACATTAGACTTTTAATCCAAATTTGTGCTATCTTATTTCTCGTCCCTCCAACATGGGATTTGCGCGACTATAGACCCAGGACTTTGGGAAATGGCTAATTGGTTTGCGGTCTATGAGCTAAAATTACGTACGTTCGTAATCTAATCGATGGTTTCTTAGCGTTGGTATATAGCGTTCTTGAAATACACACTCTTCGGCTTCGGGGTATCGGCTTCGCGTGGTCGTGATTCATCCTTTCAAAATAAAGACTATTCGTACAAAATTGAGAATCAAAATAATTTAATAACCTTATGTCAGCGTTTTGACCTTTAGTCTTTACGAAACCGTGTGTATATTTAGGTATATTAAGATATTATAAATAATGGAAGAAACTCGAAACTATTTTTCACCCCATGGGCATCTAGTCAATTCATCCCATTTCTATGGTCATTCATCCTTTCAAAATAATTCTTACAAATGATATTCTTACAAATTCAGAATCAATTTAAATAACTTTGTCAACTTTTGACCTTCACGAGATTGTGTGTAGACTAACAGTGTAAGTCTTAGATATCAAATGATGAAGAAAACTCGAAACCATTTTTCACCCCATGGCAGAATCTAACCAAAACTGCTTTGTAGCTCAATAATATAGGATAACTTGTACTCCTGTCACCCAGAATTCGTCGGTTTCATACACGTAACAACAGACTATAGCTCATTAGGCGCTAAACGTTCAAACAAAATGTTATTTTAGTCTGATAATGATCGGAAACTAACTTTTATGCGGAAGAATTTTCTTTATTTGTATCGGAAAGACGCGGTAGGTAATTTCATCGTCGAGTATTGTATACTGAGTCTGAGTGATTCAAACTTAAAATTTACAGCTTGGGTTTTGCCTCTGAAATCTTACTGTAATCGCGACCGCCATTAATATTCGATATCATTTGTGTACAAATGACGTTTTTAATCGTCGTTTGGAACAAAGAAGCGGTCGGAAGCACTGAAATATTAATGCTAAATCGAAAATGACACAAAGCAACATTTAATTTTATAATCTTCCTTTGCCCTGGTATACGCTTTTAGCCCTGTAAGTTCACAGATTAGTTTTTGGAATGCGCTTCAATCATCGCCTGAACAAATTTCGGAACTGTTGTTTAAGTATAAACACAGACTTCTATGGCCAAAATACACACAAGTTCGATATAAAAATGTGAAAACCTCGCTCGGAATGGCACTAAACGCACAGCCGAGGACCTGATTCATTTTTTTCGCACGGCTTAAATTAAAAAAGATCTCTCGGGCCAGCCGTCCAATCGAAAGGCGAATGCGTTGGCCGGCAGGTCCTCGCAAATAAATCGCAATGAATTATTCAAATTGCATAAATATACACACACATTTAGGACTGACTGTACTTTGCCAAGATGAATAATGGCTAGCGGTGGAGTTTATGCTGAGACTTTGGAGCTGCCAAAAGTTCCTGATACTATTGTTTCGGGGAGCACGTTTATCAAATGGGACGACGTAAGAAAAGCGAATTTCTTGTACTTTAATCACTGTGTATTAATAATCGAATACAGAGCGTTCGTATTGTCAACATCTCACACCGACTTAATCTGACCCGAACGAGGGCAGTTTAATATGTTATCGTTATACTTAGCGCTTGCTTTTCAGTAGTGACATATATACGGGGGAGCCGCAGGAAGAATCGAAATTGCTACCTTTGAAATTCGGATCTTGTGAAGGAAGCCGAAAGCAAGATTTAGCGGCGATTATATTGAGTGTTACTATGTCCTTCATAGCGATGGACGGATAGCAAAGCAAGTCGTCGATCAATATATCACCCTATCGTGGTTTCTGCTCATTACAAGTCCATAGTTTCCATTGAATTTTAGCGCGAAAATATACCAAGATTGTTATCTATCGAATCACAGCTAAAATTGCCTCGTACTTTGTTTACTTTAGGATTCTGGCCTAGCACAGGCATGTACACTAAAAATTGACCCTTGTGGATATGTCCTGTTTTGGAAATTCGAAGAAAAAGCGGTAAGGAACGGTATTTTATTAAATACAGTGCTAAGTGCTTGTATACTTTGGCCTTTATATAACGAGCTGAAGCAATCGTTTTGTAGGGAACGTTATATAGTCAATCTTCAGTTATAAACGCTTTTGGAATGTAGCCGAGAGTTCACGGCTTATATAGTTATATGTTATGCAATATACATCAATTTCGTATTCTGCCAAATTCAGAGCTTAATTCCTTGGCACATGTAGATTTCATTTAACAGAAATTGCAAAGTATATTTTGATACCGTAACCTTTTGGTTCTAGTCGGAGGGCATTGAATGCATTCTGTGTCGAGTGTATGTGTATTTAATGTATCAACGCATCTCGGGACTCGAGTCATGCATACAATGTCAACGTTGATAGCTCAGCCGTTTCTACCGCTTGTTTTGTTTAGGAAACCGACTTGTTGGACGTTATTCAGATCAGTGATGTTCGCAATGGAAAATACGCTCGAATGCCAAAGGTGAATCCTATATATAGACCGATATAGTTCAATGTTTGTCAGTGTATATGATCAAAATTTCTCGGTTGTTGCGCCCATATGTTGCAATGTTAAATTGCAAAAGCTTATAGCGGATTAGCTTGCATTGCGTGTAATAATCTTGATTTTTGGTCTACAGTAGCAAAGTTTATAGCATCGGTATAGATAAGACCTTAACGAAGTCTTGTGTGTATTCTCTATACGTATAATACACACGGAATTCGCCGTATTCTCGATAACAATGGGCCAATTTATAAGGTTTGCCCACGAGTCACGTCCTAGCCAAGCCAAGGTATGCAAGCGTTGATGAATGACAGTATAAAAGTGTCAAACATCCCACTCACTGACACAGCCAGCTCTCTGCAAATTTGAAATTCAGATTCGGCCCACTTTCTAATCACCTCACAGTGACGCGTATTATTTTTAATTATTGCTTTGACTTGGATAGTATTTAATTTCGAAATATTCGCTGCACTTTTGGAATCGTGTTTGACGCACTTTTGGAATCGTGTTTGACGCAAACCATCGACTATGTACCATAACTCATAAGTGTTCCTTGCCTTGTGCCGCTTTTTCAATTTCGTGCGAATTCTTTATGCCACTTGCGAACAATGCCGGTTATCTGTCATTCTGCCAAAACAAAAAAAACTCCAACAAGGCCAAAATTAAAAGTATCCCAGCAATTTGAACTGATTAGTCCCTTCGTCTGAGCACAGGTTTTTCACGACTTGTTATATAACTGAGTATAATATTAGTGTATATATAGTACATATTATGTCATGCATATATGCCGTGTACATCACTGCAAAATGCCAAAAAGCATAACTATGTGTCTATTATAAGACTACTATATATGAAATTGAATTCTAACTTCCTTCGCTAAAAATTTCCTTGCAAGGATTTTGAAAAATTTTAGCAAGAATTTTTTTTCAATTTGACGATTTTTTGACAAGCCCAAAGATATACTGTCTGATTGAAACATTGAGAACTGTTCATGTTCATATCCGGTACAATATTCGAGCTGTTTCGTTACAACGACCCAAATTGTAAATATTGCAAACTACACTACAATATCTAAAAATAATCTTTATAGACAAAGACTCCTTGTTCGTTTGTATATTTTGAAAGTGTCCTTGCACTCAAGTAATATGTCTACATTGTCTAGTATACAGAGTACAAAAATACATGTATACAAGTCTAAAACACGTGCATGCCTCTTGAGCCTTTTTGCTCTTTTTTCAAAATCTCAGACCAAAATCCCAAAGCTATTATTGTCAGTCAATATAAGCGCTTATGCTACTTCAACTTGTGATATTAATAACTCGAGCGTTCATTATGACATTATTATTTATTATCAAGCCGCATCAGTATGCCATCCATTTAATCATATGACGCGTATCGGGCAAAATTAAACAGTCTCCACGCAGGGCATATATAGGCAGATTATATAACATGTAGCTATGCGCATATCATGTATTTAAAAAACAACACCATTATTCATAGTAAAGTCGCCGTCTTGAAAAATTATCTGAAAATGAAATAGTTATATATTCGTAATTCTTCTGCGATATTGAATCGGCTACAATAAGTCTGTTCGGCTTGCAATCTTCGACCGCATACGGAATGTCAGCCTATTTCAATTATATTTGTTTAAATAATTCTCTAAGCATACAGAATTTGCCCGCCATGCAGCTGCGTCGATATTAAACACAGCGAGAGCGACTGCCGTTTTGCTTATAGCTATTATAATTTTGACATCCCTTTTTGGCGTATATCTGCCCAGTGTTTTTGGTGAAAAACACTGCAACCCTTTTCGAAATTCATTGACATTGTAAAAGCTTCGAAATATACTTTTTCCACCGATATTTCGTGTGTCAATTGACCTTGTCTGTTAGTCACATTTCAAGACCTGCTAGAGCTGTCAAATCTTGAGTGCAAATCATGAATAAATGTATGAATGTTTCTGTGGAAAATCTGCATGAATTCTCTCCCATTTGGAAAGACCCGCCCTGGTTCTCACGGCTAACGAGGCCATCACAACTGTCTAGTCAAGCACTGAATTCTTAATGCTATAGTTCACACTATCAAAGATTCTGTGATCCATCAGTAGGAATGTTGCATATAGCCTTCAAAAAAGGCCCGGTCCTTTGCAAACCTTTAACTCTATAAACCTTAAATGAAGTTAAACCTTAAACTCTAAGCGCGCAAAGCTTAATGGGAACATAAGTTTCAAGCTTAGTAGTTGAATATTGCAACTATTTTGGTTTGTGAATGAATAGTTCTCGTAAGGAGACATTTACCGTGGGCGCTTTCCATTAACACGGCCAGACTGGTCATGCAGAACGGTCAAAAATCGTTGAATGGAAAACAAAACATTTGGGTTTCGGACCTATCCGATCGGAAAATTTTAGATAACATTAGAATGAGGTCCATTTTCGCTAGATATTTGAGAAACATAGACCAGATGTTTCCATTGATACAGAGAAAAGAATTCGGGTCTGACCAATCAGGCCATTATTCATTAAATGGAAGCGCCCCATGACTCTAAGAAATGGGCCCCTAAATGATTTCTAAATATACAAGCCCAGAGATACGAGTTTGTATCCTGGCTTGAGATTTTCCGTTTCTCAAAAGTGTTTGAATTTAATACAGATACGAAAGTTCTACAATAAGCTGAAATGATTCGGACAGCAACCACAGCAGCGACAAATATTTGCTGCCTTGTTTCTCGAGGCTATCGCTTTCCAGAAAGTTTGCATTGTATATTATGCGTGTGTAAACATTTTCAGAAATGATATACAGCTCACACAATTTGCGATATGCAAAAGCACATAGGCTAGCAGATGTCCCGCGTTTCCAGACAATTTTAATACCTACAATGAAATTAAAGTGTTTGATTTTGTCTATTGTAAATTAATTGATTGAAGCGTTCTCTTTTCTGTGGTGATGAAAATTTAGATCTATTGTGAATGGATGCAAAGGTCTAATTATTCTGCATGATAACAGCTTGCCGCGGTAATGCCACTAATGGCGGACACCTCTGGGCGGACACTAAGCGAAACCATATCATGGGAGCTGGCTTGCCAGCAAAACACATTTCTACTTCTTGAGTCAATTTGTGGTTACTTGAGTGTGGGGCAGTTGAACAATGGCAAATGACCAGCCTGCTTTGCGCGCACTGTTTGCCTGCGAATCGGGCCTTTCAGAACCGGAAATCGGGCTGGAGCACGCGTTCGTTCTTTTGATTTGGCAAAAGAAGCACGACAAATGGCAAAATTCGCACGGTGCTCGTTTGCAAAAGCAACTGCAAACTGCTCCAATTCTTTCTGTCACATTCATTTGATCTCATCCGTGAGTCGGCCTCAACGGCCTTTGATTATCGGTGTCGGATGTTGGGATCCGTGGTAACCGCGTTACCTGCAAATGTCTGGGACTAACTCCATTCAAACCTGAGTCAGAAGGCCTTCCATGTAGTATAGTACAAAATTTCAATATTTATACCAGTATTGTTTTGCAATATTTACCGACTAGATTTAGGAGGCGTCGCATTTCTAACATTCTATTTCAGTTAAACTCTGTGTGATTTGAATATTTTCCCATTCTGTGGTCAAGTTATATATTAGTCAAGCTCTGAGTTAGGTTTCCTATTGCCAAAATTGACTTTCTCAGGCCCAATGCTCAAAAACTTTCGTGGCCCGGTCCCACATCGCAACTCACAAGTGGCCCGGTCCCCCATCGCAACTCACAAGCGGCGTGATCTCAAACCTGCTCCAGCAGTCCAGCTGCTGACAAGGCTAACTGTAAATTATTTTTGGTTACCTGCAAATGTACAGGCATGGTCGTTGCTGCAAGTTTCAGTCCTCAAATTTAAAAGCCCATACAGATCGGACGCGATTCGGCAACGCGACGCGACTTTTCATATATTCGGAACCACTTAAGCAATTTTAGCTATTTGGTCTGCATATCTTGTAAATTTTTTATCCGTTGATGGTTTTATTTGGTTTTAAAAAGTGAAAATTCGCGTCGCGTTGTCGAATCACAATCCTGGCAAAAATTATCGTGGACACCGCGTGCGTCAAACAAAAATAGATGTTTTTCTACAGAATTAATCCCCCAGAAAATTTCTTCCCCTCCTACCCCCCAATTCAATGTTGGTAAATGAAACTTTTAAGATTTAAATGCGAGAAACAACATTGAATAGGGGCAGGTGGCAACAAATTTCATGAAAAACGTCTCAATGTTAATATTGGCGTTAGAAAAGTTAGGTGTCCACATAATTTTTGCCAGGTTGTAGCTTGCGTGCTTCTTTAAAAGATATACCACGTTAGGTACTTATATCAGCTTTTTCAAAGAATTTAAGATAATATTGGAGGGGTGGTCCACCTTCGCCCCCGTCCGCCGCCGTCCCAGTGGGGATACAACCTGAAACCTCTGGTGAGCCCCGGAATTTGAATAACAAACGAGATGTTAAACAATTCTGAAAAGGAAACGGCTAAATACTTGCTAACGACTTTATCACTTCGTGAAGAATCTTTTGCCAAACGGTGAATTGAAATAATGAAATGTGTGAACATGGGAATATTTAGAAAATCGTTAACAGTCCCAGCTTTTCTTGTCTATATGCGGGATCTAGGCTTTAAGCCAAGATCCTGAAAGAGGGCGTCCATGCAATTTTGGTATAATGACACATCTACAGTAAAGGGAGTTAGAGAAAACGTTCCTCTGGAAAACCTTTGAAGTTTGGGTCTGAGACTCTTCAATACTAAAGTTCATTCGAGTTTTTGACCCCTGACGTTGCCGACCTCCAACCAACTGAGCTACAGAGTCCAGTTGTTGAGCTCTAACCAACTGAGCTACAGAGTCCAGTTGTTGAGCTCTAACTAACTGAACTACATAGTCCAGTTGTCGACCTCTAACCAACTGAGCTACAGAGGCCAGTTGTCGAGCTCTAACCAACTGAGCTACAGAGTCCAGTTGTCGAGCTCTAACCAACTGAGCTGCAGAGTCCAGTTGTCGAGCTCTAACCAACTGAGCTACAGAGTCCAGTTGTTGAGCTCTAACCAACTGAGCTACAGAGTCCAGTTGTTGAGCTCTAACCAACTGAGCTACAGAGTCCAGTTGTTGAGCTCTAACCATGCAACTGAGCTACTGAGTCCAGTTGTTGAGCTCTAACCAACTGAGCTACAGAGTCCAGTTGTTGAGCTCTAACCAACTGAGCTACATAGTCCAGTTGTTGAGCTCTAACCAACTGAGTTACAGAGTCCAGTTGTTGAACTCTAACCAACTGAGCTACATAGTCCTGTTGTCGAACTCTAACCAACTGAGCTACAGAGTCCAGTTGTTGAGCTCTAACCAACTGAGCTACAGAGTCCAGTTGTTGAGCTCTAACCAACTGAGCTACAGAGTCCAGTTGTCGAGCTCTAACCAACTGAGCTACAGAGAGACAGTTGTTGAGCTCTAACCAACTGAGTTACAGAGTCCAGTTGTTGAACTCTAACCAACTGAGCTACAGAGTCCAGTTGTCGAGCTCTAACCAACTGAGCTACATAGTCCAGTTGTTGAGCTCTAACCAACTGAGTTACAGAGTCCAGTTGTTGAACTCTAACCAACTGAGCTACATAGTCCAGTTGTTGAGCTCTAACCAACTGAGTTACAGAGTGCAGTTGTTGAACTCTAACCAACTGAGCTACAGAGTCCAGTTGTCGAGCTTTAACCAACTGAGCTACAGAGAGACAGTTGTCGAGCTCTAACCAACTGAGTTACAGAGTCCAGTTGTTGAACTCTAACCAACTGAGTTACAGAGTCCAGTTGTTGAACTCTAACCAACTGAGCTACAGAGTCCAGTTGTCGAGCTCTAACCAACTGAGCTACAGAGAGACAGTTGTCGAGCTCTAACCAACTGAGTTACAGAGTCCAGTTGTTGAACTCTAACCAACTGAGCTACAGAGTCCTGTTGTCGAGCTCTAACCAACTGAGCTTCAGAGTCCAGTTGTCGAGCTGTAACCAGAGCTTCAGAGTCCAGTTGTCGAGCTCTAACCACACGTTCATGTATATATTCTAGATCACAAAATTTGTTGACAAGGTCTGAGATCTTTATGTTTAAAAAATATGGATTTTACAAATTTAATTTCTTTCCGCTTAGGATTCAAAAGTTAAAGACTTGATAAAATCCAAATTAGCCTCACCAGAAAACTTGGAAGACCACTGTATTACCGTTCTTTATGGACCAAATTTTGTCGAGACGAATGCCATCAATTTCGTAGCATTGGATGTTAAAGATGCAAAATTATGGTTCGACTGTCTCATGTCATTTTGTCAGCATGTGCTACCTGCAAATGCAAGTCCACTCAATTTTCTTGAGAAACAGTAAGTTGAGATGGTGTTATATTGTTTCGTGTCAATGCCTACTCAATGGACCCCTTGCATGATGACGTCATACAATCACAGCTGCCAGAATTAAAACGCGTACAAAGTAATAAACTTTGAAAAAGCGATAAAATAACATGAATATAATGTTGATTCCAGCATGTTCATTTCAAAATGTTGATTTCAATCGTGCACCGTTTTGGAATAAACAGAAATTTTATTGATGCCTAAAATCTGTTTTGAAACCAAATATTTACAATGAAACCACAAGAAATATATAAAAAAATATTTTATGTTGTACATGCCAAGTTTCATCTGAAATATGTAGAATTTATATGATGAACAAACCGAATTCACTTTTTCACTTCCAATTTGAAGGACTAAGTTTGTCCTCTGAGACGGTTAGCCTATCCTAAATTAACGAAATACTTCAAACCCAACGACTTGTTTATAATCACTTGGAGATATTTTTTCAGAAATGTTGTGTAGATCAGTAGAAGTATTAGGTATTTTCTAAAGTTTTGAAACGGATTTGTAGGTGTGCCCAAATCAAAACATAATAATATATACAGTACAATGAGGACAGTATCTTGTTTTTAGCTACACAAAACTGATGGTTCAAGCCAATCCTGATGAGGCCATCCCAGTTAAACTGTAAGTTTCAACTTTGACCATTTATTTCACCTACCTACACTGTAAATTGCAAGGAGTTGAATGAAACTCTAAAAGTGTTATTCTATCACCAAATAGTGTTATTCCCTCCCTATGGACGAGGTCAGTAAAATTTTAACCCCTAAGAAAAAAAGATCAAAGTACCGGTACAAAACATTCCTCAGAAATTTGTAAATTTCCCCCTTACCCCTCAGAAATATCGCAGAGATCAAAGGATGCCGACAGGATTAACCCCTCGGAAACGACTATGGGTCACCTTTCAGAAACCGTCACCCAGAAAAAATTATCCATGGAGGGGTAGGGGGTGAAGTTGATTCATCCTTGAAATTTACAGTGTTTTGCTGAACTTACAATGTATTTTGTCTATATAAACATCTATTTCCAGCAATGTATTTTGTCTATATAAACATCTTTCTGGGCTAGGCGGGACGAACAGGTCCCGTGCCGGGAGCATATAAACAGATATTTAACCAGACCTGTGTTGTGCGAAACTCATTGCAGAGTTAAGCACGGTTCGTGCAGAGGTAGTGCATGTTCTTGAATGTAGGCTAACTTGTGAGTAATATGCACGAGCAACCGGACTCTGTAGGTCAAAGCGCTACACCGGAATCGTATGTTCGATTCTTGTTGGAGGGCCTATTTTTGTAGCTGCTCTCGGTCACGTCTACAAAATGTATATAATTTTCGCACGAAATTTTTATCTGCTGAAACTTTTCAACATAAGTGATCTGACGTTGTAGAGAACTCACGTGAGTATAAATCTTGGGCTAAGTCTTTCCTGTGTTCTCAATAGACAACTTGCATGTTAGACTAATTTTTAATCTAGGCAAAAAAAAGTAAATTCCCGTAAAAATTCATTAAAATTATAGTAAAATTGCAAAATTTGGTTACGAAATGTTGTAAAATACGGAAAATATAGCCTTGCGAAGTTTGCTTATTTTGTATATGTTTGTATTACGTGCGGAAATTGTTACCATTTTTGAGCCGAAAATGGTAACAATTTCCGCACGTAATACAAATATACACAAAATTTGGAAGCCTTGCAAGGCTATATATTTTCCACTGAAGCTTTACAACATTTCGCAACCAAATTTTGCAATCTTACTAATTTTATTATGTTCGTTTTAGCTGTGGTGTTTGATTCCCTTCTCTTTACTTAGATTAAAGTTTAGCCTAACATGCAAGTTGTCCGCTGACCGAGTTCTCGTCCACTCGTTCACATCCGTCAGAAGAAGTGTAAACGGGACTCGATGTGCATATGACATGAAATTTCTTATTGAAAGAACTCTTAAATGAAAGAACTCTTAAATGAAAGAACTATTTAAAGCCGCGTTTACACTACAAGCCTAAGCCTGGCCTGGGCCTACCTTTGGACTAGATTTTTGTAGTGTAAACGCACTTCAGCCTGGCCTAGGCCAGGAAATCTGGGCCACCTGTTCTGATGGACCCAGATTTCCTGACCTAGCCCAGGTCGAAGTGCGTTTACACTACAAAAATCTAGTCCAAAGGTAAGCCTTAAGTTGTAGTGTAACTTATTTTTCAGTTTCTTGTTTTTATGGTTTGTTCCCGAGATATTTCAATTTGTTTGATATGTAAATGAGTGTGAATATGTCCGCTAATTTATGACGTCACGTTGGTTGCAAGCTCAACTTACACTGGTTATAAATCTATTAACTCTAAAAACTGTAGATATCTGCTCACGTTTTTCTACAGTGTTTCATCACATTTACAGGGCTCGAAATAACGTTTCCAACGTTCCCGATCACGGCGATCGGCCATCACGACTTTTTGCTGGTCAAATAAAAATTTGGCCGATCAGGAGCATTTGCCCTCATTTCCTAAATATGCCATTAAATACACATCTGCATGAACAGGAAGTTTAACTTCATTTCAAATTCGAGTTTAAATATTAATTAAATCTATGATATTTGTGGACTTATATATACAATACTGACAATACCAATAGTGTAACTACATTTAACATGTATTTCAGTAATAAATTTTAGTTCAATTAGTTTTAATTATGGTATTGTATTTTTTCACACAAAAGCAAGAAACACAGCAGCATTATCAATTAAGAACTAAAACTTATTATTTAATATTAAAAGCGAAAAACCTACTAAAAATAAAAAATACTACTCAAAAAATCCTATCAATTTGAAATTATTATGACAAAGACGTTCGTCGTCGTGGTTCGGATTGCAGACTGTTGAAGAGACGACAGTACTTCATAGCATTGCAGGCCTGTCGGATGACTCGTGTCAACTAAACAAGAGTTTTTCGCATGTTTTTGAATGTGTTTCATATTTTTTATTTGTCTTTTACCGCGTACAGGTAAGCATGTTCTTCGGACAATGGTCAAATATATTTCTTGCCGATCAAGATGAACGGCAACGTTGCTTCTTCGCCGATCAAAAACAATTTCCTGCCGATCATTGATCGTTGATCGGCCGTTATTTCGAGCCCTGCATTTACCAGTGAGTGAAGTTTGAAATTATCATCTTGGATGATAGCAGTGATATTCTACCATTTTTAAGAGCTTGCAACCAACATGACGTCATAAATTAGCGGACATATTCACACTCATTTACATATCAAACAAATTGAAATATCTCGGGAACAAACCATAAAAACAAGAAACTGAAAAATAGGTTACACTACAACTTAAAGAGTTCTTTCATTTAAGAAAATAAGAAATTTCATGTCATATGCACTTTAAAGATTTACACTGAATAGTGACATTCTATATAATTTCTTTCCTTTCCTTATCGTTAGCATTACAAAATATCTCGCCAGCAACAAGGATGATAAAAAGAAGGTCTACGATACATTGCAATCTCTGGGATTGCCAAGTAAAAAGGTGAGCGCTTTGTATAAATAAGTGGTTCCACCAAAATTAGCAAGAGAAAGTACTTTTTTATCAAAGGGCTTCAATGGAAAACTTGCATGTTAGACTAAATTTTAATCTAAGTAAAGCGAAGGGAATCAAACGCAACAGCTAAAAAGAACATAATGAAATTAGTAAAATTGCAAAATTTGGTTGCGAAATGTTGCATGTAAAATACAGAAAATATAGCTTTGCTGAAGTTTGCATATTTTCAGTATATTTGTATTACGGTATGGTAACAATTTCCGCACGTAATACAAACACACTGAAAATATGCAAACTTCGCAAGGCTATATTTTCTGTATTTTACAACATTTCGTACTCCAAATTTTACTTATTTTAATAAGTTCTTTACGGGAATTTACTTTTTTTTGCCTAAATAAAAAATTAGTCTAACATGCAAGTTGTTTATTCTAAAGATTTAAACCTGGATAGTTCTAAGTATTTTACATCCACTAACAGTAAAAACGTCCTGGGTAACAGCTTGATATTCAAAATATTGCACAAGTTTGAACGTGCCGAAAAGAACTTCGCACTTTCACTCCTGAAAAAATAACTTTAAAACTGCTCTACGTTCTGGAAATATGTTTTGTATTACATGCCAAGTATTGTTGAAAGTTTTTAGCTTTTTTCCTTCTGAAATACAGCTTTTTAGTACTGAAAAACAGATGCCTTTTAGGCGGTGTATTTTCCACTCCATATACTCAAACATGGCGGCCAAGTTATTGTTCCAATCCTTTTAGAGTTACTGTGTCACCATCACATATCCTGTGCGGTGCTGTTGCCAAAAGAGATCACGCGAAGTCGCACCAAGCAAAGAAGTTTTGGAGTGTTTTACTTTGTTTTAATACGGCTCTGTATTTTTCTTTCAGGAGGATGCTATCAAAATTTCCGACTTTACTTTAGATACATTTTTACTATTCATGAGCAGAATATGCAATAGACAAGATATCGATAAAATATTCACAGAAATGTAAGTCTATTTTTTTATAAAATAGTTAAATAATTTATATGTAGTTGTTGAGTTCTTTTGTTCTGAGGAAGAAACCTAAACTAAAGAAACTTTATTTATAGTGGAAAGCTCTATCTACCTTACTAGATTGTCCAAAGGAGGGGAGAAGGGTCCAAATTACCTGATTTTTTAAAATTGCGTTTTGCATTACCTAAAAACAGTGTTTGAAATTTTTGCGGGAGTACATTCAAGTAGCAGTTCGTTCATCTTATTCATGTTTGTTTTGTATTATATTTTTCAGAGGTGCAAAGAAGAAGCCATATTTAACTGTGGCTCAGTTTGTTGAATTTCTCAACAAGTATCAACGAGATCCTCGACTCAATGAAATTCTCTTTCCTTACTACGACACAGAACGCGCTATGAGCTTTATTAATACGTACGAACCCAATAAACAATTTGCAGAAAAAGGTACCGAGCGGATTTTTTTATAGATTTGTATGGATTTTGTATACATACTGTATGTCACCTGGTGACCAGGTTCCAGGATTTATATTCTCCATTCTGTGACCAGGATTTATATTCTCCATTCTGTCTCACTCAACTTCTCTGAAATATTTTGTCGGCCCCTCCTCATTACGTATTCACACAATCTCTTCTTTGCTTTCCTCGCCTTCTCTGCAATGTCTCGTCTTCGTCTCATCTCTTCATTCCATGATGTCTCCGACCAGCTCTCCTTCATCTCTTCTTATTACGTGTCCACACTATCTCAATCTTGCTTTCCTCGCCCTCTCTGCAATGTCCACCACCTCACATCATCTTCTCATCTCTTCATTCCTTAATATCTTTGACCAGCTCTCCTTCATCTCTTCTTATTACGTGTCCACACCATCTCAAACTTACTTCTCTCGCCTTTTCTGCAATGCCTACCACGCCACATCTTCTCATCTCTTCATTCCATAATGTCTCTGACCAGCTCTCCTTCATCTCTTATTATGTGTCCACACCGTTGCTGCGTTACTTCTCTCACCTTATCCGCATTGTCTATCACCCTACATCTCCTTTTGACCTCTTCCTTCCATATCTTTGCCCGACTCCCTTCATCTCTTATTACGTGTCCATACCATCTCAACCTTGCTTCATTCACCTTCTCTGCAATACCAACCACACCACATTTTCTTCTGACCTCTTCATTCCATACTGCCTCTGACCAGCTCTCCTTCATCTCTTCTTATTACGTGTCCATACCATACTCACCTTTGCAATATCTACTACTGCACGTCTGTTCATCTCTTATTGCGTGTGCCCTTTTATTATCCCAGCCTTGTTTTCCTCGCCTTCTTGGCAATATCTGCCACCCCACATCTTCTGTTCTCTTCATTCCATAATGTCCGTGACCAGCTCTCCTTCATCTCTTCTCATTACGTATTCACACATTCTCCGCTTGCTCCCTCATCTTACCTGCAACGTCTTCCACCCCACATCTTCGTCTATGCACTTCATTCCTCATGTTGTCTTGATGTATTTAATTTTTAGGCCATCTATCAGTCCAAGGATTTACTCGATATTTAATGAGCGAACACAACACTGTGATCAATAATGATCGTCTGGCTTTACATCAAGATATGAACGCTCCACTTTCGCATTATTTTATCAACTCCTCGCACAACACCTATCTCACAGGTTTGAAAAATTCTTTGACTTTAAACTGAATTTAAATTTGTCTTATTGCTAAGGTCTCGTTGCTTACATGACAACATCAATTCAGAGCTGTAAAATGATTATAACTACACTGGATGGATGTATACATTGTATACATAATCGGGGTGCGACAATTGGCCAAGGGTGGGTTGACTACAAATTTTTTGTAGTTCGCTATAACTACAGCTACTTCAAAAATATGTAGTCAGCTACAACTACTGCTACTTTTAAACAAAGGTAGTTCGCTACTGACTACAGCTACTGTTTAAAAAAATGTAGCGAACTATTTCGCTACGCTATATTTTTTAGTTTTACTGTATTTGGAGCATCTACTAACTCAGGCTGAAATGTAACTTATAACAAATCGACTTACGAGTAGCAACAGTAAACACAAAGCAACATTTTTGTAAGCACTACAGTGTTCAAGAGTGCAAATTGACTATTGAATATTGATTTTAAGCAAACCGTGTCTCAGTATCATGCTATTCTATCAAGTTGCTAACAATTTTGTAAAGTAGCGAATAGCGATTTGCTGTTTGAAAAGTAGTCAACTACTTGGCTACTTTTAGGCAAAATGTAGTTCGCTATAACTACAGCTACTGTTTTAATAAAGTAGTCAAAAACTACTGGCTACTTGAAAATTGTAGTTCGCTACAGTAGCGAACTACAACTACTTCGCTACTACCCACCCTTGCAATTGGCATACTTGCCTACCAGAAGTACGCCAATATTACCGTCTGGCACTGCTTGGTTTAGATAGCTACACTGTACTCTCGCTATCTGCGTACTTGTATTTTGCTATTCCAAACAGTAATTAAGTAGGTATATATGTGTCTGACACATGATTGGACTGATGAGATTAATGTTGGAGTGAACTGTATGTATGTGTTTCTTGATGCAATTGTCTCTTTCTTTTCTAACTCATATGTTCACGTTTCTGATTGAATAACTTTTAGAAAACTGTGCTCGATGTACTTTATAGTAAAGACTAAGTACAACTTGAGTAATCATTTTGAGTGCCAGTTAGGTACAACTAAAAATATTGATGTATTGGACCATGCTATCTTGTGTAGGATTTATTGTACAAAAAAGAACAATTTTCAAATCTGATGTTGTACAAGGCTATTAAACGCCCGTGTTATAAATCATCTGTTATCGCCTCTTCCTACACCGGCACCAACCCTTCAAGTTTTTTTCTTAGTCATTTTTTGTTCCCCACAGGCCATCAGCTAACAGGCAAGTCGTCAGTAGAAATCTATCGTCAAGCTTTGATGTCAGGATGTAGATGTGTTGAACTAGATTGCTGGGATGGAAAATCTGAAGACCAAGAGCCGTGTATTACTCATGGTCTTACTTGGTGTACTGAAGTCTCGTTTAAGGTACGCCATTGCTGATTGGCTCATTTGAAATAATCTGTCTCATTTAAAATAGGCTGTCAGCGATTGGTCTGTACGAAATTGCATTTCATATAACGCAAATGGCAATTGGAAGATATGTTACTTAAACATTCCATGCACGAAAATGTGAAAGATATCTTTATCGTAAAAAACCTCATTTTGATCACCCTTTCCACTGTCAAAGTTTCTGTATATATGATGTTACCAGATGAATTGCTAACTAGTTCGCCCTTTCATGTATATGCTTCTTAAATTCACCTAGTGACATCATATTCGGCAATGTAGACAGTTTAAACGTTGATCAAGATAAGCTTTATTAGTATAAAGATATTTTATTAGTACATCGCATTTCTCTTCTCAGAATGACCCAAATATTATGACCCCTTTCAGGGGCACGAATATACTACTGCTTCAAAATTAATAAAGTTTTTCCTCATTTTGCTTTTCTATTGGATAGGATGTCGTTGAAGCTATAGCGGAGTCAGCATTCAAAACGTCAGATTATCCCGTTATATTGTCATTTGAAAATCATTGCAGGTGTGTTTTGATATAGTTATAAGGTTTTCTTTTGTGGTAATATTAGACCAATAAGGGATGATTCTTACTGGACCTCGAAACGGAGAACAGTTTAGAGTTGATATATCCAGTGTAAATAAAGTTAGTTTAGTTAGGTTTTCTTTCTTTTGTGGTAACATTAGACCAATAAGGGATGACTCGCACTGGACCTCGAAAGGGAGAACAGTTTATGATAGAGCTATAAAAAGTCAGTTCAGTTAAGGTTATCTTTTGTAGTAACACTGAGCCAATAAGATATTACTCTTACACTAAACCTCTATGGAGACAAACTAATTATAAAATAGCTACCAGTTACTTTTAATTTCTATCTCGAACTCGTATTAATGAAGTAAAATACTTTTTAGTCGTTTACAACAGCGGAAGATGGCTCAATACTGTGTCTCAATCTTTGGTGATATGCTGTTAGATAAACCAATAGACGATTTCCCGGTAAGCTCTGATGACTATAAATGCATTTTCTTACAGTATAAAGTTTTCAGGAAGTAATGCTTTAATGCCTTGCTTTATAGATAGACGACGGCAAACCACTACCAAGTCCTAAAGCTTTAATGAGAAAAATCATTATAAAGAATAAGAAAAAACTGCCAAAAGGTTAGACATCTTTCTGTTAAACTTTATGTGACAGTCTTACGATGCATTACGACTTTATATCTATAACAGAACCATCCTCAGAAATACGAAAAACCAGTTTCATATTATTCTGACACTGCAATCGAGCAACGAAAAATTCGTTGGCTCGAGCGGGATTTGAACTCGCATCTTCGGGTATCTAGACCGTCGCTCCACCTTTTGAGCTATCGAGTCAACGGGGATTGGTAGCGAGGCTTATCCAATTTAACTGCACGAAATATTTTTGTGACGACTTAACGCTTGTCTTTGAGGACGCGCAGTGTTTCAATTCTATTTCAGAACCATCCTCAGAGATACGAAAAACCAGTTGCATATTATTGACACTGCAATCGATTGGCTCGAGCGGATCTATAAGACTGAATTGATCGAATTATACAGCGCGTCTGGGAAAAATTGCATTATAGATATATTCCAGATTTTACAGAGCTAATTATTAGTTGCCATCGAAAATTTACTATAAGAGATGAATTTTGATACTTCAATTATTAACATTGGTCTAGTAGAACCAAAAAGAAATGTAGTTCATCCAATGCACCATTGAAATCATGCATCATTTGTGTTGAGTATCAACAGGTTTTATGACCCTTACTTTAGACAGCCACAACATTAGATCTGCTAGACCAATTTTAACATCATTTGTTAGATTAAATTTTCGATGCCCACTGATAGCTAGCTTGTATAAAAATCTGCAACATTGCTATTGCATTTTCACTAAAAATGCAAATGTTCCCCCCACCTCGTACGCTTATGTACTTGTTTCATTTCTTCCAGCGGCCAATCCAGAGAGCAGTGCAAGTCAGGAGGGCCCTGTGGCAAACGGAACTGAAGCGACGTCACCGGATGTGACGGATGGTGACACACCACAAATTGAGGTGGCCACTGATGAGCTTAGTGAGAGCGTCAAAAGCGAGGGTGGGGAAAGTCTTAAAGATATTTTGGACAAGAACAAGGAGAAAAAAGAGGTGGGTACTGGGGTGTGTAGGGTGGGGGCACCTCCCTAGCAATAGCCTCTTTGCAGGTATTAAAAATAGTTGAGAACGTAAAGCCTGGTTTCTATACGGTCGTAATGGTGGTAAAAAATAGAGTCACGATCTTTCTCAAAGGTCAGTTTATAATAGTTCGTACCTGTAAACCACATATAAATCTTAAGTATTCTCTAGTTCTAATCACTCTGCGTATTTTCAGTTCTAAAATGTTGTATTTCCGCTGATGAGAAAGATCGTGACTCAATATTTACGACCTTTACGACCATATGGAAACCAGACTTAAGTGACTGGAGAGCATCATCGTTGTCAGATGTTAGGATCCGAGCCACCATCACCTGTCACAGACGTGAAAACCGGAAAAACTATGCACTATGAGTCGATTGTGAACGCAACAAAGCTCATGGTGTGGTGATTTATCAACGAATCGACTGGCAAAACACACAAAAAACTACAATGACCAGTCGAGGCTAACCAATTATAATTTTTTCTATAATTATGTAATTCATTTTTTCACACATCACCATGTGTGCTTGACTCTACGTATTTTATCTTTCAAGGTTGATCAGCCAGAAGAAGAAGTGGAGTCTGAAAATGTTCTGTCAGATTTAGTGAACTACATTCAACCTGTTCACTTCAAAAGTTTTGAGTACGCTGAAAGTAAGAGTATTAATAGATGCATAATGACGTCACCATGCTTGATGCCCGCGAGGAATGGTGGTCTTAGTTGTCACCGCCCGGGAGAATTTGATGGTGGCCATTTTGAATTGTTTAATTTTTCCGGGCGATGACTATTAAGACCAGCATTCCTCGTGGGCATCAAGCCTTGTGTCGTCATTATGCATAATGTCCATTTGATTTATATATCGATCGTATAATAACCTTCGATGTTTGGCACAACAATACCTTTCAATAATCAATGAAACTTCTTACATTAATGCACCTTCTTTTCTTTTTAGCGAGAGATAAATCATATGAAATGACTTCGTTTGTTGAGACAGGCGCAACAACGTTACTAAAACAGGAACCTGTTGAATTTGTCAAGTATCCTTTACGACCTTGTTTGCGCTTCGACTGCCTGAAAAAAGATATAAAACTCTTCTAAAAACGTTTGAACCTATATCTGCATGTAGTTGTTATATGCTTTACAACCAATTACAAGGCGAACGTACGCTTATATCTCGCACTGACATTACAGTAAGTTATTGTAGCAACTCTTGGGGCATTGAAGCCACTTTAACACATACGGTTCCGTTACCTATATCCATCTAAACATGAAAACATCACGGATCACTTTTACAAAATTTCAACAAGCTATATTTTACAAACTTTTTACAAAAGGAGGATTTGTAAGTATAGGAACGCTATATTTTATGAACCTATATACGTCTTGCCGTGTTTTTCCATTTTTGTCCGAGGTAACCATTTTTGTCCGAGGTTTCCGCTTTTGTCCATTGTCGTATCTTTCGTTTTAGCGAGATGTATTCTTTGAATGTATTTTCTTTGACAATATATTTTAGCTACAATAAGCGACAACTAAGTCGTATTTATCCCAAGGGAACCCGCGTTGGATCAGAGAATTACATGCCACAGGTATACAGAATGTCTAAAAAAAAGGAGACTTTTAGAAAGTCACGTTATTGTTATAATTTGAATGTTTTGGTATTATGTTGAACCTACAGACTGACACGTAAAACAGAATATAGAAGTGAATTTTATGCATGACGAAGTTGTTTAAAAGTTTAATTTGGTTTTGTCCAACGTATGAATTATATGTGCTGATTAATATAACGCAACATGTGATTAGTTGAACCATTTTTATTCGAACTGATGATATGACTAATTAGTACAGGTAATCATGCGATGGCGAGTACAATTAGGGATTAATAGTACGAGTGATGTTTGGAAATTTTGCCAAAATTGGACGAGCCGCCGGGGCGAGTCCAATTTGGCAAATTTCCAAACATCACGAGTACTATTAATCCCTAATTGTACGAACAACATCGCATGATTACTTGTTTATTATTAGCATAACAAAATTGGATACGTACCGCTTCTCAATGTCAACATCATATTCTTTCGCCAAAGCCCAGTCCTGCCAGACTTTCAACCAAAATTTGGTGCTTTTGTTTGTATTTTCATTTAGTTCTTTTGTTCAAGCAAAATTTGGTGCTTTTGTTCGTATTTTCATCTAGTTCCTCCACGGCAATTTCATTTCAGATATGTGTTTAAAATAACTTTCCGCCATTTTGTTTGTTTTGGGAAAATCATTAATTGTACTGCAGTACAATTAATGAAATAATTGTACTCCTCTCAACCAATCAGCATCCAGTAATTTTGTCATGCTAATAATAAGTACAGTAATTTAACATGATTAATTTATGTATACTCCTTCATACGATTAGAAGCTATTGTAAATTGCCATGCACGAGCATAAAATCTTGTGCTTGAAAACAGTAGCTTGATTTCTATAGGTCTCGTTTTTTTATACACCCTGTATTATGTTTCTGGACTCACTATAATGTAAAATATTAATGATTTAATATTCAGGTATTTTGGAATGCTGGGTGTCAGCTGGTCGCTCTGAACTTTCAAACATTAGGTGAGGTTCGAATTTGGAAATCGGGGAGTAACCCCGTTAAAGGTTTTGGTTTATATAACAGTCTCTCTAACCTGCAACGCAATTTATAAACTTTTTTGTCATGTTGTAAGTTATGCATGGTTACTCGATGAAACAACCATTCATCAATAATTTGTAACATTTTCTAATATCGGTAAATATCATTCTATAGATGTCCCGATGATGTTAAATCTTGGAAAATTTGAATACAATGGAAAGTGTGGGTTAGTACCTGTGTGGTTTTCTTATTGTTGTTTAGTAAAGTTGTTAGAACTGTGGTTACCAGATCAGGGCGTTGCCCAAAAGTATAAATAGCAACATGCATAAACATCACTGATCTGAAATAACAACCCTCGAAATTCAACTATTTTTGCCTCGGCAAATAATTGCCGAGGTCTTTCGATAATTTTCGAGTTTGCCTCGGCAATTTTTTTTGCCGAGGTACGCAGTGAAATCACCTTAAATTCCTTCGGCAATTACTTCGGCACCCTTCGGCATTCACGTCGGCATTTGTAATTAAACTAGCCTACATACGGAATTTATTGTAAACATATATTATAACGAGAATAGATTCTAACGTTTTACAATTTGTTGTTATTTTACAAATTCCCGATTCAAAATGTTTTTATGAAAGAATAAACTTGACGGTAATCACGCGACAGTCCAAAAGATAAAACAAAGTTTCTCGACGTGCCGTCTTTAAACCATCAAGTATTCAAGATTATTCTTTATTTCAGCCGAAGCAGACGCTGAAAAGCTCAAATTTTGAATATTTTGTAAAGTAGTTTTTTTTATGAATGAAATCTTCTGTTGTTCACCCGACGTCGATGACAACAATTCGAACAAAGAAGTGATACAAAAAACGAACACTAGGTACAACGGGTGGAATTGCCTCGGCATTTTTTTGCCGAGGCAAACAATGAAAAATCGTAACTTGCCTCGGCATTTGCGTCGGCAATTGCCGAGTGCCGAGGCGAATTTCGAGGGTTGAATTTATAATAGATGGCACAATCTGCTGTGCATAAGTGAAGCCAATGGCGGCCATATTGGATGGCTCCACCATTAATCTAATCTGGTGTTGTGGACATGTTCAACGCTTCCTTTACGTTTCTAGTCACTGGTGGGAAAGGACAAATATTGCCTAGATAAGAATTTATCATCAGTAGCCCCTCTTTTTCCTAAATTTGCCGGTGAATAACTAATGCAGGCCATCAAATATGGCCGCCATAAGCCTCATTATGTGGTGTATAAAACGTTCTAATTTCGAAGAGGTTTTGGAACTTCAAAATCGGGTTACTGAAATACTGAATTAAGTGGATTCAATAGGATGCTTTATCCAGTCCTTATTTAAGATCAGTGATAAACATGCGTTAATTGATTACACACATAAAAGCTGATATCAGGATGTGTTCGCACTGCTTGTTCCCAGATGTTGTGACAAGTCTGGAACAAGTTTTTATCACTAGATTAGAATGTTGATGACGGTAACAGACTTGTTACGATTAAGTTGTTCCAACAAGACTCGTACAGGCTGTTCGTAACAAATTGCTACGAGCTTATTGTCCTCAATTTGTTAACGTGCAGACGATGTCAGACTTGCACTCGGAAAAAATTGTCGGAAACACTTATTGCCAGTCTGTTGCCCTCGTCAGCCTTGTGATACAAGACGATAACACTTGTTTCTGAGTGCTAGAAGTGCATCTCCATTTTTTCTAAATATTGCTATATTTCATTTCTGTCAGGTATATCCGCAAGCCAGACTTTATGTGTCGTACAGACAGATCATTTGATCCTTTCGCTGAATCTACTGTGGATGGAATTATTGCGGGCTCAGTCGAAGTGAAGGCAAGTTAAACCATAGTCAATACAATAAGGTTAGGGAACTCGATACAGACCATAGATATCTTATATACACTAGATAGCGTATCTCTTTTAGTAAAATTGAAGCCAAGAATATTCCAGCGGTTACCCCCATTTGAATAGATGGCGGCCATGTTGGAGTTACCCACTCGCTAATAAACGCTTAAAAAACAACAATAACTTTCATCATTTGAATAGTTTGAAAATGTATTTGGAATAGGTTTAACTTAATGTTTAAGTTCCCTGTTTAAGAAATAGAAAACATACGAATCTTCTCATTTCATGGGAATATCCTGAGCCTGCAATCACGGCTTCAATTTTTGTATTGCAGAATAATTAGATGCACTACCTAGTGTATATAAGATATCTATGATACAGACATATAGACCTCGTTATCTATGTTTTTGTCTTGGTTTTTGCAAGAAATGGTTGGTTCATCGTCACGTGTGTATTGTTTTTTCGCCCAACCAACCAATAGCAGTGTGTTGGTTTAATGGACGACTTGCGCTTTAGACTAAATTTTAATCTAAGTAAGAACAGCGAAATCTATCACCACAGCTAGAAAGAGCGTCTTGGAATTAGTAATATTACAAAATTTGGTTCCGAAATGTTGTAAAATACGGAAAATATAGCCCTTCAAAGTTGGCAAATTTGTATACTTTTGTATTACGTGCGTAAATTGGTAACTAAATTAGTTACCAATTTCCGCACGTAATAGAAATGTATACAAATTTGCCAACTTCGCAGGGCTATATTTTCCGTATTTTACAACATTTCGCAACCAAACTTGGCAGTTTTTCTAATTTTGATAACTTCTTTCCGAAAATATCCTTCGTTGTTCCCAGATTAAAAACTTTTCTAAAGCGCAAGTCGTCCATTACCCAGTCATGATATTACACATTGGTTAAATGAAAACATAGTTATTGGTTTGCTCTGGCGAAAATACAATACACACGTGACGATGAACCGAGCATTTCTTGCATGGGGTCTATTATGAGGCATAATGAGGTCGAGTCTCCTAACCTTCTTATTCTATTGGCTATGGTTAAACTCACCTATCTGAAAATTAGAAATAGATAAAGTATGCTTTTGAATTCAGTGAGCTAAATTTGGCTAAGAATAAGCTAAATAAGATCAAACCTATACGTACTAAGAATTTTTCAATGCCTTCTTTAGGTTATTTCAGGTCAATTTCTTTCCGAACGTAAAGTTGGCACTTATGTAGAAGTAGATATGTATGGTTTACCCGCAGACACGGTCAGGAGGAAATATCGCACTAAGACTGTGACTAACAATGGACTCAACCCTGTTTATGATGAAGAACCTTTTCGTTTTAATAAGGTAAGGCAGGTTTTGCTCTGTGTGATAAATAGATGACAAATATTGATTTCAGAGTACTTGACAATTGAATTCAGTGGGAGACATACGCCTACATCTCTTTATATTAAAACAAAGTTCATTCGATTCTATGAGTAGATGCGTGTAGATACGCAACACTGTAACACACTCTGCTGACCGTTTTCCATCTCCCAGCCCAATTCCTCGGATTCGACCGAATCTAAAGCTACACTCAGAAAAAGATTGTGGGCCACTCCCTCCCTTCCCTGGCGGTTTCACTGCTTGCGCGTTCGCCGATAAAAGGAATGCGGATGTGATTTTCATGTCACAAAAGGGGACGAAATTGTAGAAATCATCAAGAAGTTTTTGTTTAAGGTGGTTCTTCCCAATCTTGCTGTGTTAAGAATAGCGGTTTACGAAGAAAGTGGTAAACTGATTGGTCACCGCGTATTGCCTGTTGATTCAATTCAACCTGGTAAGATTTTAGTACTTGTCTTACATTTCATGCAGTATACATAGCTTAAGTTATAGCCAGTGAGCTCCATATATATCTGGAGCGAGAATTCGAGTCCAAAAAGTGAAGCCAGCTTTGTGTTAACCGCGCATACATGTACAAATACAGTTGAAAGAGACTGGTACTGACGTCCAATAGCTCCTTCAATTTCCGCCATCTTGGCAAAGGGTGTACCGAAATTTCGTATTTTGACATCGATTTAAAGAATAACACTATGTAGTCGGCCGGCCAAGGTGGCAAAAAGTGCCTCGCAAAAATCAGAAGTGGTAACACACACAGTCTTGTTCACCAAGGCTTAAACTATAAGAAAATGCCTGTTACCAGCTTCTAACATAAAGTTGCCATCAAGTTGTACAAATTGATGACTTGGCCGGCCGTCTAATGGTCTTTGTAGGTTTGCATGGCGATAAAACATATAAATGATATAATACTTTTTGTTTGCGGAAACACCACGTAAATTTATTACTGGAAGTAATAAATTTACGTGGTGTTTCCACAAACAAAAATATTATAATAACACTATGGTTTTATGAACGGATAACTTGGTTAGCGATACGGCTTCACTTTTCTCATAGGCCGAATGAATCAATAAAAGACACGACATTGTTAAGTTGGACCTCTAGGGAGAAAAGTTAAAAAATCAGTAGAAGCTGGGAATTCAACTACACACGTAAAAACGCACAAGTTGTTACAGCTCTGCAAACAAGTTGTTACAAATCTGTTCACAAGTTGTCGACAGATTGTGTTCGCACTGCTTGTTCCCAGTTGTTCTAACAAGTTTGGAGCAAGCTGTTTAACAACTTGTAACAAGCTTGATGGCATTATCAGACTGTTACAAGGTTGTTCAAACAAATCTGATACAGTCATGATATAGTAAACAAGAATGTTACAAGGTTGACGACACAAGGTTGTAACAGTATTGTTATATCATGACTTTATCAGACTTGTTTGAACAACCTTGACTGATAACATCAACAAGGTTGTTCCATACTTGTTGACAACTTGGGACAAGCAGTGCGAACACGACTTGTTGACGGCTTGTTGGTAGACTTGCTACAAGATGTGAGATTTTGACGTGTGTACCTGAAATATACAAGCAATACTTCGACTTTCCGAGCGCAGGCCCTTTATCGAAAAGTGAGTGTCTACTACAGACCGTTAAAGTTAATAGAGCAATCTAGTATAGTAAAAAAGTTAGTTCAGTTTATTTTGACATATCACTAATACTGATTATAATTTATTCCAGGCTATCGTCATATCAAATTAAAAAGTGATTGTAACCAGGCCTTGTGTCTTCCTGTGTTGTTTGTCTCTATTGTCACCGCTGATTATGTACCTTCGGGATTCTCGGGTATGTAGATGTATATCAAGGGATCCCTGACGAAAAAAGTCTATAGGTGGCCTATAGGTTCCTATAGGAAATGTTCCAATTCCCTATAGAAGCCTTTAGGCACATATAGAGATATATAGGCTTATAGGCATCCCTATAGGTCACCTATAGAAAATGTTCCATGCAATTGCCTATAAAAACCTATAGGTTTCCTATAGAAACCTATAGGTTGGCCTATAGGCCAGGGCTATAGACTTTTTTTGTTGGGGATGTAATTCAGTGGCGAAGCTAGCCATAGCAACAGGTCACGCGATGCAATTTTTAATGTTTTAACAAAGCTACTACATATAATCCAAAGAACTGACATTATTTTCTAATAATCACCGTGACCATTTAAGTAAATTAATTAATGCCTCTATGTTACCGCAGATTTCGCTGATGCTCTGACAAATCCTATCGCGTTCCAGTCCAAAGCCGAGATCAGAGGACACATGTTGGAAAGTTTAATGGACGATGATGAAGCTTCTTCACAGGTATAAATGTCTACTTTTACATAAAATATGGGCCTTCGTTGTCACAGTCGCCAAAGCAAGCGCCTTTCACCTCAGAGATCGTGGGTTCAATTCTCGCTACGGACTCATGTGAAAAGAGTCGGTCAACGCTCTGCCGAAAGTCGTGGGTTTTCTCCGGGCGCTCCGGTTTCCTCCCACGGGGAAAGTTGACAGGGTGGGCAGGCCTTAGAATATCGGTCGGTCACGGACATTGTCCGACCCATTCATCAAAATGTCCGACGTAGAGAGGAAACCACCGGACATTCTGTCCGACCTAAGTGAAACTGAGGTTTATTGTTTGTCCGACCTGAGTGTATTGCTGTCCGACCGAACTGTGGCTTTGTCCGAAGCTTTCTGCACGCACGTAAATCAAAATGTACCCTAGTCCAGAACCAGAGTTTGTATAAAAATGAACCGGAAATGTTGCGGGGCGACGAGTAAAATGGTGAGGTGGAAAACGGGCTTAACTCTTAAGTTATCGAAGTCGTACTGCTATCATAGGCAAGCAAGTTAATTTTGGCTTGGAAATAAGTATGAATGATATATATATGTTATTTACCGGATTGGAGGTCCGCGAATGAAGCTGCCAAATAAAACGTCGTTTCTATCAATGCTATCGGGAAGAGAATTATCTTTTGTGAGATAGTAAAATTCGTTTTCACTGTGTTTTCCATCGTCTGCAGACATTTTAATGTTTTAAAAAGTAGCCTTTAAACTCGTCTTTAAATTTTGAAAAATAAAAACATTGGCTCTATGGCTTTAAATCTCGCGCGGTCCGTACGGGTTCATATACGGACCGCTCATGTAGCCGATCAGATTGCAGAAAAGCGTAAAATATGACTTCGGACCGCAAGAAAAAAATAATATTTAATATCTTCACAACATTTAGTTCAGAATGAATACATTGTGCTGATATTAATTTGCGTCATTCAGACTTATTTCCAACCCAAACTAAACTGAAGGTCATCGGACATCATCATACATATGTTCGACCCAAACTCAAAGGCATCGGACATTTTGTCAGACGGCCCTGTAAAAGATATTTTAAGGCCTGGGTGGGTTAGGATAAACATAGCTAGGGAAGTAATATTACAATTGTTGTAAAGATAAATAGTCTAAGGCTAACTAGGTAATGCTTGATGTACTCGGTTACTGAGAAGCCCCGAGTTAGCTGATGCCAACAAAACCTTGATATTTACCCATAACCTAACATGGCAGCACCCTATATGTATATTATATAAATGAACGTGTGGTTAGAGCTCGACAACTGGCCTCTGTAGTTCAGTTGGTTAGAGCACTGCACCGGAATCACAAGTTCGATTCCTGCCAGGGACCTAAAGTTGCATTTTTCGCAACTGTTCCTGGTTAATAGTTACGGGAACCACGGAGTATTTTTATAAAACACAAAAGGACAGTAACTCCAAATAACATTTTGTAGCTTTAATGAATCTACGTTTCGACTATATTTTAGTCATCATCAGGACAGATTGTTCCTGGTTAGGTCCAATAAGTAATGTTTACAACATGAGCGGCCGTGTTGTATCGGATACAACATGAATCTGTATCACATATACAGATACGACACGCTTATGATTTTTCTTTGTGTTTTCTTCATGAATTATTAATGAGTTTTTTAAATGTATATAAATTTCCACTCGATAATTTCCATCAACAAAACCCTTCAACTACAGTATAATATCAACAAAATCTTGATATGTATGTATTATGTATGTACATGTATGATCAAGCGAAACATTCATTTTCATTGTATAAATATATTTCATTTTCATTTTCCTTTCAAGGTCCCAGAAATGCAGCCAAAGCTTGGTAAGTCGTATATCTTTATATTTCATCTTTGTATGATTGGAAAGGACGTGTCTGAAGTTGGTCTCTGAACTACCTGAAATTGAATAAAAGCACTTAGACATTTGAGCCGAAGAAACTTCAGGACGTGTTTTTAAATCATTTTTCTGTAGTTCAGACACACTCACGCGGAAGCATAGTGGCCGAGTATTTTACCCCGTTTTAGCCATAATGCGAGGTGATTACCAGATTACATTGATATCGAAGGAACTAGACTCAGTTCCGAAATATCACATACTCGAACCGACCTGACCGCGTAGCTCAGTTGGCAGAGCATTGGGCTAGTATTCCAAAGGTCGTAGGTTTGATTCCCACCGTGGTCAGGCATATTTTTCAAGCCTGCCCGGTGTGGATATACATTCAGAGTGACATCACAAGCAAAATATACAGTATGTTCGAACAGAACGGAGACCTTTCATCTATAACTATTTTTCTTTCTGTTATTCCAGCACCAGTGCTACCCGCGAATATACGTCGTTCATCAGCGCAATTCCAGGCCCAAGGCGGAAGATGTGTGAAACCCTCCATGTCAGTTGGTAACCTGGGCAACGGAACACAATGTTCTTCGAACAGATCAGTCTCACTGACTGCCGATCATATTGACGGTACTGAAAACTCATCAAGGAGATTTAAACGATCTCAGAGCACTAAAAAACGAGAAGGTTAGCTTGAGTTGAACTTATTTCAAATGAATAATGGCATAATTTAGATTTAGCCTGATTTAGATATATTGGCTTAGCCAGCCCCAAACCTAATCATCCTGGGGCACGGTCCCCCGGAAAATATTTCTATTTTAGGATCTGTGAAACACTATTCCATGCATTTTAGACACGTTTCTTGATCATTTGAAAGCCACAGATTTCGTGTGTTTTATGTCATAGATGAAAATATGAAAAGGGTATGCTCCAATAGTTTGTCGTCAGATTTGAAAGAATTGCAAAATTGGTCATGAAGACAAGTGGTTAGAGATAAATCGGTGATCTACATCAGGGTTTTTTTCAGGGATTTTTTAGGGGGATAAAACGGCCCCAAAAACTCAATCTTGAATTGAGTTTTGAAACTCAATCTTCTCATCAAAAGATTCTGTGCAATAAAATGAAGTTGTTTGAGTTAAATCCATGACGTGTGCAAATTAGGTTTTAGTTGAAAACCCAAAAATTAAGTAAAAAATGGCTGGAATTCATTTCACAACACAATTACACATTCACCGTCTTTAACCAGTTTATAGTGTCCCTTAGTGCCCCTGCTTTAACACATTGTATCTCCACTACACTAAAGTGGGTACAGGTTTTAGCCTCCCGGTAGGGCGGAGGGGGGGGGAGGGGGAGAGACAGCCGCCTCAGACCCCCAGCTATTCAGCTAAACTCAATCTCCTCTGCAAAAACGGACCCAAGAGAAAATCCTGGAAAAAAAACCTGTACATGTACCCAAAACCGTATTACCAAAACACCTATTACTGCTAAAATGTCAAACTATTAATTTCAGAACAATTTCCCGCCAACCAATCATATGTTACCAATCGATTTCATGACGTAACGAATGTAGTCGCATTCCTCTGAATATTTTCACACAAAACATGACGCACGTTTTTTGGAGCGATCTGCGGTTTTGGTAACAGGCGCACGACAGGAAAAGAAAATGAAATCCCAATATCGACAACGCATAACAAACCCGACATCTCAGGCATTCTTTATATGAGAGATTCAATGGACCAATCCCATATTAATCAAAATTTTGATCTCAACAAGTCTAGACAAAATTCCATCACAGCTTGAAAGAGCATCACAAAATTAGTAATATTCCAAAGTTTTGTTTGCGAAATGTTGTAAAATGCGGATAATAGCCTATAGCCTTGCGAAATTTGCAATTTTCAGTCATTTTGTATTACGAGCGTGAAACGGTCACCACTTTTCCAAAATTTTGATCTCAACTAGCCTAAACAAAAATTTCATCACAGCTTGAAAGAGCATCACAAAATTAGTAATATTCCAAAGTTTCGTTGCGAAATGTTGTAAAACGCGGATAATATAGCCCTGCGAAGTTTGCAATTTCCAGTCATTTTGTATTACGCACAGAAGTGGTAACCATTTCCCGTTTGTAATACAAAATGACTGAAAATTACAAACTTCGCAATGCTATATTATCCGCATTTTACAACATTTCGCAACGAAATTTTGTGATGCTCTTTCAAGCTGTGATGAAAATTTTGTCTAGACTTGTTGAGATCAAAATTTTGGTTGATGTTGGATTGGTCCATTGCTCCTGTTTTTAAAATAACATCTTACATTTTTATTTTGCAGAAGATCCGAAGATTGTTCCTGTTCCTATTCATGAACTACGTGACCATAAAGTGAGTCCTGAATTGAAAATGTTTTACCAGATCACAAATACCGTGGCCGTCACCCCCCTGAAAACATATTGAAATTTGATGTTCCAGGGGGGTGAATACCTCTCTTTAGGGTACTTGCTAAGTCGCCAGATATGCGCAGTAAAAACTACCTTACGTTTTTTCTCACGAAGTGAGACCTCTGCATGGTTAGTACTCTGTGACCAGATCATGGGTGGAATAATTAGTTATTCTTCTTACATGTATTTACTTAGAATGTGGAAAAAGTCAAGGAGAAACACAAAAAAGACATGTCGCTACTGGTTCGCAAACACATGAAGGTATGATCATGCACACTTAAACGATTTGTGTCACACCATAGTATCCCGGACTTTTGTTATTGCTTTTATCGTTCTCAAAGTCATCAAATAATGATAAAAATACCTTATTTGGTACATTGGTACATTTCCAATAAGAATCAGACGAAAGAAGCAAGGATTTTCAAAGAATGGTTTAAATATATGACGGATTACAAGAATCCTTTTCGGATTTGCCGAGATTGAAGGTGATCACACTATGTGGCACCATTCGTTCTCTGAAATCTACATATGCAAAAGTTTATATTTGACTTGTACAGGAAATTTTGATTTTTGGATTTTGTTGCCAGGAAGAGAAATATATTTTCTAGGCATGAGGGAAAACCTGGCATGTTGTGATTGGTAGAATCAAACTGGAAGCTGCGTCTTATGTGACTGAGGCAAAATTATAATCAGCGAATGGGTGATTCCAGCTATGGCCACATAAAATAAATTCCTTGATTCTCATCGCTAAATTTTAAAAACTCCCAGGAGGCGGGAGGTTTATATTTTATATTTTATGTCAAAATATAAAAAAAAAGTTTAAAATTTAAAAAATTGGAGAGGGAGGTCTTTTTATATTTGCCCTTAAATATATTGTAGAAGAACGCTATATAAGTGGATAATTGCACATGCGCTAATGAACATGCATAAGGGTCCACACAAATCGTTGTAATAAGACTATAAGCCCATTTTTCCCTTCAGTATCCCAAGCATCCCTTAACATGTTGCAATATTAACGATAAAACAATTTTATATCGCAAAAATTCCAATATAAAATATAAAAATATCTAAATCTCTGAAGATGCTCGGTCGGGCGGTAAATTTATATTTTATAACAAAAATACAAAAATATATCAACGCGGAAACCAAAATATCGTCGGGCGGTGATGAGAATCAAGGAATTTATTTTATATGGCCTATAGAATAAATTTTGATCAAGGCAAGAAGAACGAAATCCAACACCACAGCTAGAAAGAGCGTCTTAGAATGAGTAAAACTGCAAAGATTGGTTGCTAAATGTTGTAAAATGAAGAAAATATAGCCCTGTGAAATTTGCACATTTTGTATATATTTGTATTACGCGCGGTAAAAATAACCACTTTCGGCCCAAAAATGGTTATTTTTTCCCGCGCGTAATGCAAATATATACAAAATTTGCGAACTTCACTGAGGCTATATTTTCCTCATTTTACAACAATTCGCAACCAAACTTTGCACTGAATTTTACTCATTTTAAGATGCTCTTTCCAGCTATGGTAATGGCTTTCGTTCTTCTTGCCTAGATCAAATCATCCATTGCGTATATGGCAGAAATCGAAGCCCAATTTAAACTGAATTACTTACAAAAGACCTGTATAACCATATGAAGAATTTCCAATGTTTTAGGAAAAAGACAGGCTTCAAAAACAACATTTTACAACACAAGAGAAGTTAGCGAAGGACATGGATAAAGAAATTGAAACGACGAAGAAGAAACTAGACAAAACGTTGAAGAGAGCATCAAAATCTGGGTAAGATACGTTTTTGGTTTTGATAAATTGTAATTTGACTCCTGTATCCTACCTAAAATACCCCCCCCCCCCCTTCCCTCAAGATAATGTTTAAAATGTGGAGGAAATAATAGCAACATTGGGTAGGGGAGGAGGGGGACAAAAAGCTGATGAAGTTAGTTGAATACATTTTCCTAAAATTTTGATCTATTTTATTAACATTGTACATGATTCAGGGTTCCATTCCTGGCAGGCGTTTGGCCAGGGTGTCAAAACTGGTCGTCCAAAAAATACCGTTAGTGTGGCAACCTATTTTTGTGGACGTGGTCAAAAAACAGGACGCTTAAAATCAATTGTCACATACTTATAATTCAGCTTCTTTTCAACAAATGCTATTAAAACATATGCAATCGATAAAGTAAACAGCAGCTGACATGTAACTTTTGATTTATTAAAAAAAAAACAAAGCTTGAGAGTTTTAAGAAAACATTTTCTTATGCTGTCCATGGCCGTCTACGGCTGGCTAAATGTCTGTCCCTCGGTCGTATGCGAGATGAATGCTTCCTAGCTGTTACTGGGCCTCTAGGAGGAACAGTTTAGAACTGAACGAGTTATCTAATATAATAAATAAACTATGTATGGGTAGTTTAGTTGAGGTTTTCCTTTGTAGTAACACTGGTCCATTTAATATGCAGTACAGGTATATACCCTTTACTGAAGAACCAGAACTGATGGACCACTGATTTACTTCAGTTTAATGTAAAGCTGTTTCATTAGGATTTCAACTCAATATCTCTGTGTATTTGTTATTTTTATGTGAAGAAAATACGAAGAGGTTTACAAAGAAGGGGTCCAAGAAGTTGCAAGTCTTCGTAAAGACCACGAGATGAGGGTAAGAGAATGTATGTAGTAATTGACCAACTGAGCACAATCTCCTGATATCAAGAGTATTGTTAACTCGACATACATAGGTATTATACATACAAGTACATGTATTTATATTATACTCATTAGTTTTGAGCTCGTGTTACGTAATACATAACCTCTTCTTAGGGGCTGTTTATATGGTCCCGCTTACCCGGGATTCAATGAAATGTGGAGTATTTTGAGCAATTGAAATACGTTTTTCAACCCTAAACAAAAGTTAGATAACTTTAAATATTGTTTAAACGAAATTATGAACGCACTAGAAGTTTTGTAGTGGAAGAAGCCAATAGCATTCAACAACATTTTGTTTTTTGTCTAAAACATGGAATTTCATACAATTTGTAACAAGCAATTTTGTTAGATCATGAAGTGCGACTTATTTTAATTGCTCAAAATACTTCACACTTCATTGAATCCCGGGTAAGCGGCCCAGCCCCTTAGAGTAAGACGTCTTCGAGTAAGACGAATGCTGTATTTATTCATGTGTTTAAAATATATTTATTTCTTCATTTAACAGATGAATGTGTTGAAGTTGGAACAACGAGAAGAAGTGATCGCATTGATAGAAAAACAACTGAAGGAACAACATGCCCTGGCAAAAGAAAGCGTCCAGCCTGTACGTCTATTTTTGCATACATAAAGAACGTATTTTTATCGCGCTATAAATCCTAACCGAAAATTATAACGAGCGCAGTGCTACATATAACATCTAAACGGCTAATTACTGCTTTGTTTTTGCGGCTGATTTAGGAATTTGACGAGTTGCGTGTCGTTATGGAGTTGACAAAAACAAAACAAAGTAAAAAATTAGCTGAAGTTCATGAAAGGTAGGATTGTTGGAGATTAACAATATATAAATATATAGACAGTATTAACAGTTTAGAAGCCGGAAATGCGGCATGCGCCAACACTTCCGGTGAAACGAACACATGTTGTAAAAACATTAGTGACGAGAGCGAGCGTGCGAATGGCGATTGTTATATAGGGCGAGATATTAAACAAGCAAAAAAGGAAAGAGATTGTTAACTAAACCTGTGTTTATAAAACTGTGAATTGTCGTAAACACAACAGGAGGCAATTTACGACACCTGGCACCTCCCAACGGGATTGTAACTAGAGATTTAGGTCGAGCAAGAGCAAGGGAATTCCGAATATAATGGCATTAAAACAACAACTCGACGAAATTGATGGCAAGTTACGTTTACTCAATTTTACGACCAAGAAAACCGATGATATACTTAAAACAAACGATGAAGAAGTCGCTATTTGACAAAAGGGTCAAATAACAAAGATTATTTTGGCTATAAGTGACCTGAAACAACCAATCGAAGAAAAGAAATTTATCGAAGGCGACTCCGAAGAGAATGTCGCAGCATGGGGGGAATCAATCGAGGAAAATATAGCTTTGGCCGACGAGAAAGTGAAGCAGTTAAACGAGTATATTCGGCGCCTTAAAGCAGACGAACGCCAGAAAGAAAGCGCCCTGGAAAACGAAAATAAACGACTATTAGACGAAGAAAATTATGCGAGACAACAAGCCTTCGAGAAACACGAAAGAGATAAACAACTTGCCTTCGAACAGGAACTTTTCAATCAAAAATTACAGTATCAAAAGGAAATTAAAGAAGTTCAAGCAGGGAAAAACTCATCCACAAAGCTACCAAAGCTTGTAATTACACCTTTTAATGGCTCATATCACGACTGGTTGCGATTCTGGGGCCAATTTTCTGCGGGTATTGAGTTGGCCGATATTCCTAATGTGATGAAATTCTCTTACCTGAAAGAGTTAGTAGAACCCAAGATTCGGACATGTATAGATGGACTGCCCTTCACGACCGAAGGATACAAAAGTGCGAAGAAAATCCTTGAAGAAAAATATGGAAACACCAGTGAAATTGTGAATTCCTATGTGGAAGAAATCGTGAATTTGCCAACAATAACAAGTACCCGCCCGGAGAAAATACACCCCTTCTACGAGAAATTGGTTTATTGTGTCCAGTCACTAGAAACTTTGGGAAAACTTCAAGAAGTAAATGGATATGTACGACTTACCTTGAACAAAGTACCTGGAATACGTGGGGACTTAGTCAGAACTGAGCCCAAATGGAAAGACTGGACATTCACAGATTTAGTCAAAGCACTGTTCGCTTGGACTGAAAGAAACCCTATTGAAGCAAAGACAAGCAACGAAAGGAAAGATGCATCAAGGGCTTATCAGACTCGTCAAGTAGATCAGAAATCTCGAGCGTGTGTATATTGCGACTCTAAAAATCACAAGTCCATTGCTTGTGACTCGGTGACCACCTGTGAAGCTCGACGAAAGATTTTGTCGGACAAGAAACTGTGTTTTAACTGCACGGGTGGTAGTCATAGGGCATCTGAGTGTAGGAGTAAGCAAACCTGCCAGAACTGTAACCGACGTCACCACACCTCAATATGTGAACTAGCCAAAACCATTTTGACCGCAGCATACCACCCCAGCGATCACAAAGTAATTTACCCAGTAGTTCTTGTCGAAGTCGACGGTACCAAGTGTATGGCACTGCTTGACACTGGTTCCGGAAGCTCATACGCATCTGCGAAGTTAGTCGAACAGTTAAACAAGAAACCTAGTGAGTCGAAAGTTACAAGAGTTGAAATGCTAATGGGATCAGCAACTCGTCGAGTGGAAGTCTTTAATGTGAACATTAGCAATACCGAAGGCAACTTTAACTTGAAAACTAAGCTGACTAAAGTAGAAAAACCTTGTTTGATGGAACTTCCTAACCCTCACTATGACAGTCTAATCAAGAAATATCCCCATCTTGGTGGAGTGAAGATGATTGACGATGACCAAAAGGATCAACTTCCAATACATGTCGTGTTGGGAGCTTGTGACTATGCCCGTATCAAAACAAAATGTGCCCAAAGAGTCGGTTCACCTGGAGATCCAGTTGCAGAGAAAACATCATTCGGCTGGACTATGATGTCAACCGGAGTTGAAAGTGATTCAAACAAGATGTTGCTAACACAGACCTCCACTGCTGATTATGAAAACCTCTGTCGGTTGGATGTGCTTGGTTTAAAAGATCTTCCAGAGAATGACCAGGACATTGTTTACGCAGAATTCAAAGAGCAACTGAGACGTGACCCTGCAGGATGGTACGAGACTGGGTTACCCTGGAAGGGTAACCATCCCCCTTTACCAAGTAACAAGCAGGGTAGTGTTCGACGGTTAGAATCACTAATGCGAAAACTGAATCGCTCTTCCATTACCGAGAAATATGATCAGATTATTCAAGAACAGATTCAAGAGGACATTGTACAGAGTGCTCCAGAAAAACCTAACGGACATGAGTTTTATATCCCGCACAAACCGGTGATTCGAGAGAACGCTGACAGCACTAAATTAAGAATCGTATATGATGCATCAGCCAAAGAAAGCGCAGAAGCACCATCACTTAATGACTGTCTTCATACCGGCCCGTCATTGCAGAACAAGCTATGGAGTGTTTTGGTCCGCGGTAGATTTCATCCGGTTGCTGTCAGTGGTGACTTGCAGAAAGCCTTTCTGCAAGTCAGAATCAAAGTAGAAGACCGTGATGCACTGCGGTTCCATTGGAAGCCCAACAGTCAAGCTGAGATACAAACCCTCAGATTTACTCGAGCCTTGTTCGGGTTGGCGCCATCACCCTTCTTGCTGGGAGGGGTGATCGAGTACCATCTACAATCGTGGGAAGATAGAAAACCCGATACTGTTGCTGAAATCAAGAAGAGTCTTTATGTTGACGACCTTATCTCGGGTTCCACTACTGTTGAGAAAGCGAAAGAATTAAGAGACGGTGCAATTGAAATTTTTGAAGATGTTAAATTCACCCTCCACAAGTGGAATTCCAATGAAGATGAGTTACAACCAAAGGAAGTAAATGCACAGTCGGATGAAAGTACCTATGCTAAGCAACAACTTGGAGTCAAGGCAAACGAAAGCAAAATTCTCGGTCTTCCTTGGGACAAGGCGAAAGATACCTTAAAGGTAGTTTATCCGCAAGAGTATGGTGACGTGACAAAACGAGGTATCCTTACTAGTTTGGCAAAGATATACGATCCACTTGGCCTTGTTTCTCCAACAACCCTAATTGGAAAGCTTGTGTATCGAGATGTTTGTGATCTGAGGTCAGCCTGGGATGCGCCTGTTCCAAGTCAGCCAAACATTCGGTGGAAGAAATGGTTTGATGGTCTCCCTAATGACGTACAATTTCCAAGATCTATTGTGCGACATCAAGAGACAATCGAAAGCGTAGATTTACACAGCTTCGGAGATGCAAGTGGAAATGTAGTTGCGGCCGCAGTTTACGCAATTGTGAATCAACAATCTGGAAGCAGTCAAGGTCTTGTAGCAGCGAAATCACGTCTAGCGAAAAGAAATACTACAATCCCACGACTCGAACTGACGTCAGCACACATGGCAACGAATCTCCTTAACAACGTCAAGAATGCTCTATCGGGATTTCCAATAAACGAACTGCATGCGTGGTTAGACAGTACCGTGGCCTTGTATTGGATTCAGAACGGCGGTGATTACAAGCAGTTCGTGGCGAATAGAGTTCGAAAAATTCAAGAGTATAATGAAATTGTTTGGCATCATGTACCAACTGGAGATAACCCTGCGGATCTTGGGAGCAGAGGCGGAAGTGTGACAAACCACAACCTTTGGTGGAACGGCCCGGAGTGGCTCGCCAACCGAGAAGAATGGCCCCCTGATATTGTGATCAAATCTTCACCTGGAAGCAAAGCAGAAACGAAGATGACGAAAGAGGTCATTAACGCAGCAGTGGAACGAGTCGATGATCAATTCGATGATCTGTTGAAGAAGCACAACCTTTGGAAGGTCCTGCGAATCGGTGCATGGATCAATCGTTTCCTACTGAATTGCAAAGCAAAACCTCGAGATCGACAGTTGGGTCCTCTGCGCGCCAGTGAGATAAAGATCGTGAAGAAATGGTGGATTAAACGAGTGCAGAACGAAGCGAAAAACCAACCAGTATTTGCTAAAGAAAGCCTGGAACTGAATCTTCAAGAGAACGATGAACATATCCTAGAATGTAGAGGAAGAATTCAGGGCGTCTATCCTGTATACCTACCTGACAACCATACCTTTACCGAGAAAGTAGTTGAAGATTCTCACTTGCAAACGCTCCACGGGGGAGTGACCTTAACCATGACCCACGTCCGAAACAGCTACTGGATCCCCAGATTAAGAAGATTGGTCAAGCGTATTCGAAAGAGTTGCTTCGGGTGTAAGCGAGCTCAAGCGAAGGCGTATTCTGTACCGCCCCCTGGAATCCTACCAACAACAAGAACAGAAGGAAAAAATGCGTTTGAAGTTATTGGAGTGGACTTTGCGGGTCCACTTAAATATTGTACAGCTCGAAAGACTTTCAAGAAATCTTATTTGATCTTGTACACATGCAGCCTGACTCGTGGAATGTATTTGGAATTACTACCAAGCTTAGAGACGGACGAGTTCTTGAAAAGCTTTAAAACATTTATTGCAAGAAGGGGACGACCAAAACTCGTGTATTCTGATAACGGGGGAACCTTTGTGGGAGCAGCGTCCTGGCTCAGACAAGTTATGAATGACGAGAAATTAAACGGCTACTTGGCAAGGCAAGAGATGGAATGGCGGTTTAACCTTAGTCGCGCCCCATGGTGGGGCGGCCAGTTCGAGCGACTGGTGGGACTGGTCAAATCAGCTATGTACAAAGTCATTGGCGGTGGAAACCTATCTTGGAAAGAACTACAAGATGTCGTCCTAGATGTCGAGGTAACCCTCAACAACCGGCCCCTTGATTACGTCGAAGACGACGTTCAACAACCTACATTAACACCCAACTCGATGTTGTTTGGACAATCGAATACTATCCCACAACTAGAGCCCCACAACATTGAAGATACAGATCTAAGGAAACGAGCAAAGTATTTGCGAAGGTGCAAGGATGCAGTTTGGCGTCGTTGGACCAAGGAATACCTAAGAGCACTACGTGAGAGACACAACCTAAAACACGGCACGAAGTTGGTTACACCGAAAATTGGTGACGTTGCGATTATTAAGAATGATGAGCGGAATCGAGGGAAATGGCAACTTGGAGTTATCGTGCAACTTATCACAGGCAAAGACGGGATTGTCAGAGGAGCGAAGTTACGAGCGGGAAAGGGTATTCTTGAGAGAGCCGTACAGCAGTTGTATCCATTAGAACTTTCGTGCAATTGTGAGAAACCAAAACCGGCATTGAGAGCCCAAGCTCCTGAGTTTCGACCAAGACGTACTGCAGCGGCTGTAGCGAGATTACGGATTCAAGACGAAGCTGAAGAGGATGAACTTGATTGACGTTCTTAGTAACTATTGGTGGTTTATTCTTATTGTTGTTGTTTGGGAATCTCCGATAGTTAACATATATATCTCAATATTTGAGTTATATAGGGGGAGTGTGTTGGAGATTAACAATATATAAATATATAGACAGTATTAACAGTTTAGAAGCCGGAAATGCGGCATGCGCCAACACTTCCGGTGAAACGAACACATGTTGTAAAAACATTAGTGATGAGAGCGAGCGTGCGAATGGAGATTGTTATATAGGGCGAGATATTAAACTAGTAAAAAAGGAAAGAGATTGTTAACTAAACCTGTGTTTATAAAACTGTGAATTGTCGTAAACACAACAGGAGGCAATTTACGACATTATTTCCGAGCAAAAACTGAACTGAAGGTCATCGGACATGTCCGACCCAAACTCAACGTCATCGGATATTTTGTCAGACGGCCCTGTAAAAGATATTTTAAGGCCCGCAGGCTGCGATAATGTCAAACAAATATTATAATGCCAAGCAATGCTGCAATAGCAGGAGTCGATCAGACTGCGATATATGGATTGAGTTATGTCAGTTGTCAATTACACTTGGTTTGGAAACTGATTAGAATAACAGCATTCCTCATTGTCCACATTAGAACAAACATTCATAAATCCAATTATGAGCAATGTTGTAGGAAAGTTAAAACTAACCAATTATAGCAATGTTGTAGGAAAGTTACCTATCCGTGAATCGAACAACAGGGTGAATTGGAAATTGCTCTTGGTGCATGAATTAGGCAAAAATACAATACACACGCGACTTTGAAGAACCATATTTATGAATAAACATAATTGACTATTAATTAACATAGATAATGAGTTATATTGTTATTCGACTAATTGGTTTCCAAACGATCTAGTCTATTCATTACGATTAAACAAAACAATTGTTTAATTTAAACAAAAAGATAATTTTCACACATTCAGCAGCATTGTGGCACTAAATGGGTCAACTCAGTGCACCTTACTTTATTATTTTACTTTGCCTAATGCCATGCAGCCAATTTTACTTGTCAGGAGTGTACTGTAACTCAATGTTCAAGCAGACTATCTGCCTATGAATCTGATTAACCAGTTGAAGGATACTGTAGATGAAAATTATTGAGGGGAAATTTATATACATGTACAGTACATTAATTAAACCTAACCAGGAACAGAAGCGAACAATGCAACTTTAGGTCTAATGTATATAATTAATGTACATAAATTTCTAGTCGATCATTTCCATCCACAATACCCTTCAACTAATATTCAATCAAGTGAGATGCCATGAAAAACATCTTGTTAACCAGCCTTTAAGTGGCAATGTGCCCTGATACACGCTACTATATTATTTTACGTATTTTATTTTTATTTTAGTATTAATACAGTTGTATATTATTAGTTACCTATTGTCTGTCAACCATACTTTTCCATTTTCATCTCGAGATATTGTGCAGTGTTGTCCTGAGATGTACCTGTTGCTCTGAAAACTCACGTCACAATCTGGAATATGAAATTTTATATCTTGACCTCAACTTAAAGAATAATACTAAGGTTTTGTGAACTGATAACTAGGGTGCACCGGACAGTGGTGGTTTTAATCCGGCCGGATACCGTATATTTTGGATGAATAATTTGTGTGCATCAGAAATAAATAAAATAAGGAGTACAGTAGACTTTTCGAGCAAAATTTTTTTATTGAAATTTTTTATTGAAATTGAAAAATTGAAACAATGGACCATTCCCCAATTAACCAAAATGTTGAACTCAACAAGTCTAGACAAAAATTTCATCGCAGCTTAAAAGAGCATCAAAAAATTCGTAACATTCCAAAGTTTCGTTGCAAAATGTTGTAAAATGCGGATAATATAGCCTTGCGAAGTTTGCAATTTTCAGTCATTTTAGATTACAAAGGGGAAATGGTTACCGCTTCTGTGTGTAATACAAAATGACTGAAAATTACAAACTTAGCAAGGCTAAATTATCCGCATTTTACAACATTTTGCAACGAAACTTTGGAATATTACTAATTTTGCGATGCTCCTTCAAGCTGTGATGAAATTTTTGTTTAGGCTAGTTCAGATCAAAATTTTGGAAAAGTGGTAACCACTTCCCGTTTGTAATCTAAAATGACTGAAAATTGCAAATTTCGCAAGGCTATATTATCCGCATTTTACAACATTTCGCAAACGAAACTTTGGAATATTACTAATTTTGTGATGCTCTTTCATGCCATGATGGAATTTTGTCTAGACTTGTTCAGATCAAAATTTTGGTTAATTGGGGAATGGTCCATTGGAATGAATAAAAATTTATCCGCTGCATTGCAAAAGTTTCCCTGCTGGCAGATGTCTCGAAAGTGATTTGCACTTATTACTTCAACCCAGTATTCCTTCCGTTTCGCCTTCAACAGGATCTTAAAATTTATATTTTTTTTCAGTATATCCACCTGGGACACCAGGATTAAAAGTTTAGTATTCCCCTTGAGAATCCATGCAGTATCCTACTTCTGGATTCTGGGGAACCATCAGTATTAGGCTGCGTCCAGACTGGGTGCCCGGCACTGGTGCCCGGCACTTGTTTTGGCTCCCAGTTTGAACACGACGCTTTCAAATAAAATTGGGCACAGTGCCCAAGAACGGGCACTACCTCTAGAGGTAGTACTCAACAACGGCACTGTGCTCAACATGTTTTGTGAACCATTTTGAACATTGGGCACCAGTGCCGGGCACTCAGAATAACAACATGAGACTCAACAGTCCATTTAATCATTCAACAACCTTCTATATGCTAGGTCTCAATGAGGAAGAACTGGTGGTAAACTGATAGTATTCAAAAGCTCTCAAGAGTCCATCAAAGGTGTTTTTTTAATGTTTGAAATTCTTAGTATCCAGTCGGGATATATTAAAGTCATTCACAGTTTGGTATCTATACTATCTAAAACCAAATTTTTGGTATCCTGTGAATATTGGGATACTGTAAATTTCAGACCCTGAGTTACGGTAAGGAGGGGTTAGAAAACCGATATCCGGCCGGATAATAGGGGACTTTAGATTCGCTACAGCTACGAAATCTAGTACGACTACGAGATTTTTCCCGTTGAATATCTGCTACTATAGACTTTTTATCGTCCTTTCTTTTCCATACCACATCTTTATAGCAACAGTTGCGCCACGGAAAAACCGTCAGAACGCACGCCATCAAATACTTACGGTACGGTAAAGTGTAAATCCGGCGTACTTAATCGATAAAAACCGATCATCGGAAATCCAATCGATCAATCGATGGCAATCGATGCTAATTACTTAATTGATATCGATTGACATTGATCAATCGATGACCAATCGATAGTCACACAAAGTTATAGCCAATTTTATCGATTATTATCGATATTCATCGATTTTCATCGATATTTATCGATTTTTATCGACAAAATGCTTTAGATTTTTATCGATTTATATCGTAAATAATCGCCGCGTGTCGGCGTGTTCGAGCTAAATAGTAAATATGTTCTCATTTTTCGAACGGACACATGTATTTGATCTGCATTATAGCTAGATGAAAACTTAATTTAATCCATTGTTACTGAATTCCGTTCACATTTGAGTTTGTTACGACATTAAAGTACGTATTAATTAAATAACGGCGTTGCCTGTTTGATTGCATGCATATTACTAACTGAGGATTTTTTCATCAATGAAAATTAATAAATCGATGATCAATCGATGAAAGTCACAGCAAAAGAAGCCATCGATTATTCATCGATTTCCAATATCAATCAATTGATCAATATCGATTGGTATTGATTGATATCGATACTCATCGATTATCGATTTCATCGATTAAGTACGCCGGGAGTGTAAAGTACCCGACTGAAGTCACTGAACAGATTTCAACCGAATGCATAAATTTTGCATACTTTATCATATTATAATTAGAAATGATATCAAAACAATCTGGATATTATCAAAATAAACTTACCACTTGTTCTACCAATCTTTATATTATTTCTCATTAAACGTATAGGTGGTTTCGTCTCTGTACTGCACAACAACAACTGGCCCCAAGCTATTGTCTCGCCCGCCATATTTGTTTATATTAAGGTGGCTCCACTCCTATAGTTTTCTCACCTTTTAGCGACCAGGCCTTCGCGAAAAAATGCTCGGCCAGAAGTTTATATTTTAGATTAATTAGATATTTTAAATCTATTTTTATCAATTAACCCTATAAATAAAAGTGGCAATCCGCCCTGATGCGCCCTACTTTAGTATTTTATTCTGTCTAACGCCAGACGATTTTACTCGTCAAGTGGAGAGTGCTGCCGCTCAATTAGCCTTTCTCACGCCGCCATTTTTGGGTGGCATTTCAGCCGAGGTCTGCGAGATAAGTCCACATAACAGCGAGTTTTTATATTTTTTTGACGAATGATGGTAAATTTGCTTTGTAAATGGTTAGGGACCGGTCATTATTTATGGCAGGGGTGGGGACCGAAGAGAAAATGGTGGGGTAACTGGAAAATAATACTTGCTTTAGGTGGGGTGGCCAAAAAATCTTTGCATGCAGAGGTGGGGTAAAAAAAATAACCTTACTTTAATCACACACAATACAATATATACTACAATCAGAGTTTAATATGTGATTATTCTAATTTTTTAATAAAATATTATTGCTTTCCAAAATGTTGACATAAACACCCCCCTCAACCCACCTGTAAAGGGTCATTTTTATATTCATTTACACACAAAATCTCCAATTACCAGACAAAATATATACTGCCTAATATATATAGGAGCTGTTTATATGGTGCAACTGCAAGCCAACCCCAGGGTACCCAAACTTGCCCAGTTTTGGCAAGATCCTGCCTTTGTTGTTATTTCTTACTATTAAAAGTTCACCTTGTGTATATACAGGGTGTATCAAAAAAAACTGAACAGATTTAAAATTGCCCTCAACTTTGCAAAACAGCTATTTGTATCTGGTTTTTTATATATATAGCTTCTTTGGGTACTTATAATGTAAAATAATGAAAAACATTTCTCGAACTC